CCTTGCAATGCATACTTCTGCTAGCTGACCAAAGCAGATGATTGCACATGCAACTGATTTCTATTTATGGAGCCTCCCAGAATTCTGTGTAGGAGGTTGGAGCATTGTGTATTCATGCTGTGGGGTCTTCCAATTATTCCTTATCCATAAATCCACAAACCAGGCGTTGGTTCTTGTAATATCGCAGTCATGTCATCGACAATATTTTATTTTCTCCATATTATGTTAAAGAACAACGAAAAGTCGGAGTAGAAAAGAATCGCCTGGAGGAAATGAGTGAGCTGGGATTGGAGTACATGCCCTGAAAGTCCTGTTCTGTCATCTGTGTTTGAATGAGGTCTCCAATCAAATAGGACATTTGGATAGTCAGTCGTGTCCTGAGGGACACAGGATGAGCTGGGACTGTGGCTGCGAGTGCATCCATTGTTTGCTCTTCTCTCTAACAGGAATGGAGCACTCGGAGAACTCGCAGTGCTGCTTTGAGGAACAGTCGAAAGACCTCCTTCTCAACCCAGAACCTTTGTCTCTATATTACAATAGAACAAGCATTGCCATTATTTACCAAAATGCCAAATAACCCATGATTGTAAAGAATTACTGGATCTAATATAACACGCTGCATTTATGTGTATTTGAAAAAGTAACACACACAGACTTGACTGTTAGGTAACAAAAGCAGGAAATAATTGCAAGACAATTGCAAGAAAGTACTATTTTGCTTTTTTACTTCCATCACCTCAAAAGTCATGAGTACATCCGATCCTCTATTTGCTGTGTAGCAGTGCCAACCACCTACACAACATCCATGTATGTCTAGCTCCTGAAGTTTGCCTGCAGCAGCGCCCTGATCGTTCTCATCCCTGTGGTGATGAGTCATACCTCAGAGAGCTTCGCCATAAAGATGGCCCATTTCCCCACTCACTGTTCCATAGAGAAAACATCTATAACAGTTACACAGGAGAATACACCAGTACAGCGCCTCTGCCTGTGATTTGAACAATGTGATCTTTGTGAGGAAGAGTCGCGGTGCTCTAAATATAAATGTCCATAGTTTTGGTTTAACCAGACGTAACTGCTGATTCAACCGGTGGTAATGTGCACTGATGGGTAGAAACTGCAGTCACTTCAGCATATTTTCATCAAGCTAGGATGGCATTATGTTGCTATAAGAGCAATAAAAGTCCATTTTCAGAGGCCCACAAGGAAATCATGCCTCTGCATTACACACAGCCACTAACAGACACAGACACAGACACACACACACACACACACACACACACACACACACACACACATACACACATTTCTTCCTCCACTCCGACTCATTTGCACCACCTTGACACCCGAATGCTTTAGCCTCGGTGTAAGTGGGCTGTATGACATTATGTTTGATAATGGTAGCTATTGCTTCTCTCATATGATGGATGCTTCTGTCACAGTGCAGTCTCGCCACACCTTATTGGACACGGGCATTTTTCTGACAGGAAAATCAGCCAATCCTGACGCTTCAGTGAGCAGCCCCCCTAATCTTTTCTTCGTGCTGTAATTCCAGGTTGCAGAACGAGCCCTGGGTAATCTGTTTCTGGGTGTGTAGTTCCACTTGTTGTCACCTTCTCTTTCCCTCTCTTTCACTTGCTCGTTCTCATTATTTTGCATTCACATTAACTTTCACTCCGTCTCTCTCTATGTTTGTCACTCTTTTTCGGTCTCCCAGTTGCCTTCACTTTTTCTCTTGTTCTCTCTGCCTTATGTTCTGGCTCCCTAGCTGGCTGCTTCTCATTGATTTTCTTTCCATTTGCCAGCCACACGGCACCTATTCAGTAAGTGATTGACATTCCTCTGCATCTTTCTCTTTCTCCCTGTCTCTTCCTTTTGCTCCCTTCCCTATTCCCCTCTCTCTCTTATTATACCCTATTCTTCCTCCTGCCTCCCCGTTTCTCAGGAAAATAAATAGTGCACAGTGTTTGCGCACAGTCTAAACTTTGAAATCTGTTCCTAGATTCACTGGCTGCACTGCATCCTCGTTATTTCTTGTAATTGCAGCGTAAATACCAAATTAATGACACCACAAATGAGAAACTTCAAGTCACAGCTATTTATATTGTTGTACACAAACACGGTCTGGTGTACGGCAATATGCAGCTTTCTCTCTCTCTCTCTCTCTCTCTCTATGATAAAAGCTTACGAGTCTAATAGATTCTCGGGTAGCGCTACATGTGTAATGAGGTTTTATGCAATAGTTTAGCACTGTTGCCTCTCCAGGATTAATGGTTGGAGCTCCTTCAATATAAAGTGAGCACAACCTACAGAATTATTAACACAATGTGCTCCAAGGAAAGTGGCATGCAGGACTATTGATGTTCTTTCCTGGCCGTCAAAGTAATGGCAACAGTGTTACACCATTTTTCATATTTCGTCACTTTAATTAGCTTTGTGTTGGTTTCTGTCTATAGCTTGAAGAAAGTCTGTTGTCATCTTTTTATCCTGTTTATCCTATATAATGAGTAGCCACTTGTTTTTGCTGCACAGATCAATAAGAAAAAAAGTGCAATTTATGCATAAATTCTTAAAAAAATAAAATAATAATTGCAACCTTTAAGGCTTTTAGTCGATTTGATAAATGTCACAGTGTTTTTGCTCTGGAACTTGCATTCCTGCTTACATTAGCTGATGTAAACCCCTTCCTTCCTAATAGTTGTACTGACTCAGACAGAATTGCTCTATTTTCTCTCCCACCCAGCTCGGAGAGAGTTGACGACAGGGCCACCAAAAGGCCAGTTCCTCCCCCGTCAGCATATGCTTCTTCCTCTCCCTTCCTGTTCACAGCTCCCTCGTCTCACTCTCCCTTCTCCACCATTTCTCTCCACCGCTGTCCGTGGGAAGGAGTCACGGTGCCACCTCATCCCATTACCCTCACAGTCACCCCCGTGCTCAGACCTCCAGTGACACCTGCTGAGCCCTGCCGAGCCACAGACCGCCACCTCCCGCCACCTCCACAGGCTCTGACAACTGATTGTGTACACTGATTGCTGAGCACCATATTTCACAGATCCTCTTTTTTTGGGTCGTGCTACAGCATGTTCACATTTTCTCCCTCTCTGTCTCCCGGGGGCGTCAGCAGCAGAGTGAGAAGCGTGTTGTGCAGGGAGAGCTGGGGAAAGCTAGTCTATTTGTGTGAGCAAGGTGCTGTTTCTCCCAACAAGTGCACCAGAGGAAATGGAAGGAAAGATCTTTTTGATCATACACTCTCAAAGGAAATCTTTGATTCTGGGAGCTCTCTCTTTTTTCAACACCCCACATCAGAATTCATCATCGGTGTTCGGAGAGATTTAATAGCTTCCAAATTTAGGCACTGATCAACATGAATGGGTGGAAGTCTCCTGAGGGTTTTGGCAAGTTAGCCCTGAAACCAACTACGACCAAGCCTGGAGAGCTTTGTTTACTGTGTGTTTCCTTTCTTTTTTTAATGAAACTTCAATCGCTGATCCTCAAACACTTCAAGCTCTTTTGTGTGACTCCAGCCAACAAGCATACTCCCACAGGTTTGCATGTAATCAGATAACTCATGCCAGAGAGGAGGATTGAATCACACCAATAATTCAAGCTAAATTAGAATCCATATTTCCCATTTACTCTTCGTATAGAATATTCCTAATGCAGGGAGTTGGATAATTATGAGCAGGGATCTTATATCTCCTCAGTCTGGCAATGTTTACATAATGAGTTGAAAGCAAATTACTTAAAAAAGTGTTTTTAATTGTTATATTATTTCCTTAAAAGCTGCACAGGATTCTTAGCAGGGTGACCTTTACAGCTCTTGACAAATGTATCCTATCTTAAATCATTACAGCAGATAGTTATCATCAATGGAAGTCACACAAACTAGTTAAAAGACGTACTGAACTGTTGGTGTTGATTATGATTAACCTGGTTATGGTCTATACAAACATACATAAACTTGCTTGGGAAGCCAACATGATAAAGGAAGGAACATTGTTTTCCTGATAACTCTGCCCTTATTGTGACACCAGCGTTGCATTACTCTTACCGTGTAATCACCAGCAAAGATATACCGCAGCTTAAAATGTGAATAATAAGGATCTAATAAGGCACACCAGAGCACAGGGGGAGGTTAAATTAGCAGTCTGTGGAGAAGTCGGAGCACTGTTCTGGTGTCAGAACTAAGAAAAACACCCTTCATTTTACTGCATTTTTTACTCTATGCTGTACCTGGAGAGATTTTAATAAGCTCCAGGGTTGCAGAATTTTCCCCACCATTAGAGGAGGTACGAAAAAAATCCTTCAAGGTCGGAGCATACAAATCATCAAGGTTTTTTTTCCTGTCAGTGCCATTATGGTAAAACGGAGGCGAGGAAGAAAAAGAAGTGAGAGGCAAAGTAGATTCACAAAAAAGCTCACGTTTGCAGACACTGCCATCATGGAAGTCGGAGATTGTCAAACTTGACTCGAGCAAATAAATGAACAAAAGAGGAGATGGCAGAGACAGATTGAAAGAGAATGGGAGGAAAGATGGTGTGTGGGTTGAAGGTGTGAATCCCCAGTCAAGCTCTAATGAAAATGAGATTGTGACTCTGCGCCACAGGATTTGCCGGTAATTGGTGTAATGAATGCATTCTGTTGCCTCTGATTGAACAGATGCCCTGTGCTCGTTCCTTGAGGAGGCACACACATGCAGTCTTTGTTTCCTCCTGCTGTGTTGGTACATTCCTTTATCATCTCACAGTGTTATGACCTGTCCACCACTGCCTATTTCCAGTCCTGGGTTTTGTGAAGGTCATACTGGTTTCCCAGAGAGGCAATTAAGGGCAGACTGTTTCTATTGGTCTTTTCCAGCTGATGGACTTAGTGACTGATATCTTTGTGTGTGTGTGTGTGTGTGTGTGTGTGTGTGTGTGTGTGTGTGTGTGTGTGTGTGTGTGTGTGTGTGTGTGTGTGTGTGTGTGTGTGTGTGTGTGTGTGTGTGTGTTCCCTCTTTGCAGATTGGCCTGTGGCATTCCGAAGATGGACTGTCCATGGAGAGAAAGCTTCCATCAATCAATGTGACAGACACCCTCTTCAACACCACTCTTACCATCACGACGATATTAGTAAGTACTACTGTATGCACACCGGTACGCACACATCCACAGCGTGATTTTATTTGCTCAACTCCCCAGCTGAGCTACATGTGGCTGACATTCTGTGGTTGACAGACAATTACCATATCAAAAGCCCATTTTGTATTTTCAGATCCAAACTCGGTCCTCCTGGGATTAGAGGAAGTGCTGCCGCACAATTGTTTGCCCTGAGTACTTCAGATGAGGGTACATCACAGTGCATCAGCAGGAGCTAATAATTCACCATGTCAGCCTTTCTCAGCCTCTGTTGTAAATAAAGATCCAGTGAGTGCTACTTCTCACTGCCTCCCTATGTTACCTGTTACAAAAGGAGGCTTTTCCCCGCAGTTTCCTTAATCACCTGCCATGTCAGTGATCAATTACAGGGCTGCACTTCTTGGCCGAAGTGGGGATCTAAGCAGAATTTATTCTGAGGCCCTGTGGATGTGATCTCCCTGAAAATAAAATATATATTTGATTCGAAGATGGCTCAGCAAATATAATCAAGCGACCGTTAATATAGTTAGGTAGTTTTTAGAGGTAAAGTCTATGAGTGAAAAACGCTGGATGTTCATTACCTGATAATATTTATCATCGGCTTCACCAACCTGAAGAGTGTGGAAAAAAAAAAAAACATTGGCACAAACTTGAGGCCTCTCATAGAGGATGAGGTCCAACCACAGCATGTGTTCAGCTTATAGGGAGAGGCAGGTCTGATCAATACCTTTGAAATTCTCAGAAAACATGAATGCCCTCGATCTAGCAGTCTAAGATTTATCTCAACAATTTATCAGCAAGTATATTGAGTTTCTGAATCATGAATAAATTAATCATGAATGAATCATAAATAAACTGAGGGAACACAAGTTTAATATTTAACATGATAACAAAAGGAAACAATGCTGTCACTTGAGATCGCTGCTCCTGCCTGTCATTCTTTAACTAGCAGCCTAACAAAGTGTAACAAGTCAACATAATTTGTTGGCTTTATGGAAGGATAGATTGGGTGTCAAGAAACATGAAAGGGACCTGAAACATCTAATTTCTTATTGAATGGGACTAGATTTTCTTTATGCTTGAATCAAACTTCTAAAAGTCTTTGTAGCTGCTTGAGTGGCTCGCTGCCTTCTCAGTCTACCTCTAAGAGCTCTGTGCCTTTCACATTTTGTATTCTCATCACATTGAGTCCTGAATACAGCAAGGGCAAAACAGTAGACACATTCAGATCAGACAGCTTGAGAATTGTGTCTCACCTGTGGACACTGAGCTTATAGCTTATAGCCTACAGCTCCTTCTTATCAATTAAAACTCACCACTCCAGCATATAGAACAGGTCACAGCCGTACCTTGGCAACAGGTGTGCTAATGCTAATTCTAGATGCTAGAACTGTTTAGCTTGCTCATTGACTAGAAAGCTAATAAAATACCAGCAAGATTAAATTTCAATAATATTTATGGATTGGTTATTCAGTGCCCTGAAATCAGTATCAATATTTTCACAAACCAATGATAGGTCGTGTTTACTCTCAGCTGCAGTAAAGTTAATATAGATCTGAGATGATTGTTGTGACTGAATTTCAATAAGTTCACAGGAGCTTGTACTTGCTGCAGCTGGTAAGTTGCAGCCGCCCTCTGGGGTCCTCTAGGTCTTCATACATTGCTGAAAGACTACAGTTGTAAATAAAACATACTGTATCTGTTCACTGTTACTCCTTCAAAAAAAAAAAACCTGTTAAAAAATTAAATATAAGTGAAGCCACTTGCTCACATGTCAAGCTAATGTTTCGGTGTATGTCTCAAAAAGTCGCTCAAACTTTGCACAATCATGACTTCTAGACTGATCCATTTCTCAACAGTGATTGTTGTTCCTCAATTCATCACCTCCCTGTTTTAATTATTTGAGCAGATGTGTTTGCAATTTCCAACCCTCGTGAGAAGAATATAATGTTGTTGATTAACTCCCTCGTTTCTGTACAACAGGAGCTTTGGCATGTCTTCTTCTGCTGTGAAACATCAGATGTGATGAATGGTTTTATGTCGACGCTTCTTATAAGCATCCCGATTTTTCGTCAGCTGCGTGTGTTTTCATGCCTGTCTTCATCCCTTGATACACACAAACACAAAGATGGTAGCACACACACACACACACAAACACACACACACACACACACACATGTCACTCCTCCTCCCCGCTGATGAACAGACGATAAGACACAAAGTAGCTTGTAAGCAGAGGCAATTGGCCCAATGTGTTATTCTGAGTGGCTGGCTTATCTGCTAGGGGAGTCTGGGAATGAGGTAAGGACATATTGCCATATTTCGCCACTGAATGACTCACTGGTCTCATTGAGACTGATTGGGATTCAGATGGTACGGTTCATTTCACACGGGAGCGGAAGGGTGCGAGGGGAGTATGGTGAATGTGTTTGTGGTTTGTCTGTGTGTTTTTGGGTTGAGGGGGAGTACAAATGAGACAGTGTTTTCACAACAGAAACAGGGTGTGAAAGAAAAAATTGGCCAAGCCCAGAGCTTTGATTTCACTTTGGAGATATAGAGTCCCCGAACCAAACTTGGGAAGCCACCAAGGGGCAATTTTCAGTGCCTATCACGGCTCATTCATCATGGTGTGATTGCCGTGTCGCTGTTATCTCGCTTGTTGGCGGCAGACGAGCTGCAGCTGAAAGGCTCCATAAGAATTCCTTACCTTAAGCGCCGGCCTGGGAGACTGTGTGTGCCTGTCCTACCACTTACGGTATTAATGGAGGCTCTGTTCCAAGGATTCCTATAGTGTGTGTATTTGTGTGCACTTTGACATGTGCACCTGGTGTGTTTTTCAGGCCAGTTTCATTACAACCACATAAAGCCATCATCTTCACCCCTCCAATTTCATGAACAGCTCGAGGAAGAAAGAAAAAAAAAAAACAGTCACAGAATTGATGATCACTTTACTGCAGGGCCACAGGCCATGTGTTGGTAGCATCGATTGAGTTTGTTACAGGCATTGTTTAGGTCTCAGTGAAATTACATCTCTATACCTTCAGAAGCCAAACTAATGTAATAGAAAGAGCAGTTTTTATCCTTGATATTAAAATGATCTTGAATGGTGTGGTATTGTGCTTTCTATCTGTTCTGAAATGCAGCTGCTTGTTGAGCAGGAGAAAACGTCTTCTGTTTTCATTTCTACAGTATCATTGTAGCTCTGGTTGGCGCCATGGGATTTTCATTTGGCTGGTGAAACTGCTTGAATTTTTAGAGCTACAAGTGACCAACTTTCACAGTGATTTTTGAATTTATCTTGTTACTTTTTAAAATACCTCTACCCCAAAGTATGATTCCAAAGATTAACTGTGATGAAGGCGTATTGATAATGGGAAAACAAACAAAAGCTGAGAACACCGCAGCATATACTCCGGAGAATTCACCTTGAGCCAATAAGAAGAGAATGACGTTTATATACAGTGACTGCCGCAGGGTGCATAGACTGTCTGCACTTGATCACTACGATCTCCGTGCACGTAATTAAACGGTTGCATTGTGTTTTCTGCTCATCAGTATGTTGTTCTCCGCTCTTTTGTGGATGTTGTCATTCCATTGGACTACACATAGCATTGATATAAAGGGAAATATCATCATTATAGCATCGTGTAGCAGACTCTGTTGCTTCGGCCGCTACTTCCGCGTTGTTCATTTTACGTCACGCCTTACCTCAGGAAATCCCCCAACCCCCCCTCCCATCTGACAGGGATAGTCTCCAGCTGTGAGGAGCATATGGGAACGGCTAGGTCGGAGAATCTCCGGAGCAGTCCTCCTGTTATTATCTAGATATTATCCGGAGTGCATATGAGAAAACAGTTTATGTGTAGTGCTTGGTCGCACTAAGTCACTCACAGTATGTTTCACATTTCATTTGATGGATTGATTGTTTTGTCTTTTTTGCCCCGTCTTCATGTTAATACATCCGTTTATTTGCCACCAGCTGCTCATTAAACAGCCTGGGATGTAAATGCATCACTTATTTAATTAGGTTCTTAAATGATCTTCATGCTAAGTGCATGCAGAATTCAGGACTCCCTGTTATTCCTTGTTTCCAAAACAAAAACCAAATGAGCTTTACCTGTGGCGACATCTCTCTTTGGTGCCAGCATGCTACCATTGTGAGGGAATAAAAAAAAAACCTCTCAATATTTGAATCCCTTCCAAGAAGACCCATTTTTCCTGATAATGCCTGAAACCTGTTTTGATTCCCTTCTGTTTGAGACATTTCTATCTTTGTCAGCCACAGCTCTCTTGGTCATTCTCCCAAACTCCCCTCTTGTCACTGAGTGCCATCTTATCCACTCACATACATGCGGCTAAGAATCTAACAGTGCTCATACTGCCGACTGATAAAAGCAGACACAGATGCTGATTTGTTGGCACATCGGCTCAGTGAATCTGCACACAAGAGCCGTCTCCATTTCAGTTTCTGTGTACTCGTTCTCTCTCTGTGTTCATCTCATTTGTACTTCTGTTTTCTGCCATTTATGTGCTGCCAAGCACAAAGCTGTTTGTTGAAATTTTGCCTCATAAAAAATGTACATGACCTGACTCTTTTTCTTGTGACCCAGTATTTTTCTGAGTATTGTGAGAGTTTTGTCATTCTTCTTCATAGGACTAAAGAACCCCCTTAGAGAGATTTATATCTCCACTGCCAGATCTCTGGGCCCTGGAGAGCGAGTTTTTTAAAGGATAAGAACAGTTGAAGAAAGCGAGTAGGGTTGTGTGAAGACATACTGAACACCCGGAGGTTTTAAAAGGGGTAACTCCTCTAGGTGTGTGTGAACATCACCCACTGCTGCACCTGGAACTATGCATATTTCATATAGGTGTGTACGTGTTTTTGCTTGTGTGTTTCTTCCTCCAAAGTTATCTGTCTGCAAGCAGACTCCTCGTGGCCTGGGAATAAGAGTGTGCTTTAAAAGTCTGCATTTCTTTGCAGCTTCAAACTCATAGCTTTAGTACTGTTTTGCTGCTCTGTGCAAAAGAAGGTAGATGGAATTTCCAGAGATTTTGCCTTTATTGAAGACAGCTCTTTCATACCCCTGCATAGGCTTTTCATACCTTTTTTTTATATTTATTTTCTTATAATTTTGTTCTCATCTCCTCAAAGGCTTCAAGTGGAAGTGGTTCTGTCACTGATCTTTTTTTGTCAGTGTTTGGTGGAAGTTTTCGGATGAGTATGAACTGGAGCTCAGAGAAAGAGAGATAAATTGAAACAGAATAAATTACAGAGAGAAAAAAAAACAGAGAAGTAAGAGGGGGGAATTTTTCTTTCTTGATAACAGTCTGACAGCTCCTGTGTAATCGATCGCTGTTGGGTTTTCACTTGTATTATTGATGGGTGTTGGCCAGGTCTGTTTTTATCTGTCTGTACAGTAGCAAATAGAGGGAGAGAGGTCTAAATAATACTTGATAAAGCTGATTCATTTACCAAAATATGAATTTAATTGCAAAAGAGATCAAGTTTGGATGTCAGTAGAGTCAGTAGTGTAATTGAGTGGGTGTGTGAAAAGTGTATTGTGCGTTGGATGTGTTGGATGAGAAGGATGATGAAATAACAAAACAAGTCGCATACAGAAAGTCTCTCTGAGTGCTCAAATATACTTGCTTTTGAACCACATAAATTTTCACATACTTGCCTTTGCACAACGCGTTTTACTGGAGGATTCCTCTAGAGGGAGCACCTTATAAATCAGACGGCGTAAAACACTGAAGTAGAGATGATCTGTCGCCGGCTATTTTGGCATGCATGTTTTGTTGCTATGCAACGGCAATGAGACATCATAGTGTGTGTAATTGCGGACTTGATCTATTTACTTTTCTTCAAAACTTTCCGCCATTGTTGTAGCAGCTCTCTGGTGTCTCCGATGTTTCATTTCCAGTCTCATCACGATACAACTCTACACTGCTCCTAGCAGTAATATGCATATTATGTATAATAATTATATTATATATAATTTCTGAGGGCGTGCACAATCAACGCTGCAAACCTTCACAGGATACGCAGGGCTAATCATGTCATGCATACGCATGGTTAAAAGCAAGTAAACTCAGGGCTTAAGGTGGCACCTTATATAATGACTGTGAGCATCGGGCCCAGGTGCTCTCAGTCAGGCTGATTAGACACAAGAGAGAAGGCACAACCCAACAGGCCACAGGGCTGTCACAGTACTTAACCAATTCAACACAAAAGGTCTTTGGTAAGAAAATATACAAAGCAATATTTTCTATATTTATCTGAGAGAACGAGCTTCTTAATGATTTTGAGCCTCTTATAAACATAGAATACAGACCTAATAAATAAGAAACTAAAACATGAATTCATTAAGTGATGTAGTAGGACTCCAAACATATGTTCCTCCTGGCATATTGGTCCTCTGTGCTGCTGGTGCAACTGTACAAGGTTTGTGTGTCTCTTCATTTCTTCCCTGTCCCTCAGACCCGCTCATGTTATGTACAAAATGTCTGTGAAAGCCATCCCCTGTGATAATAACGTTGCGGAAATTGGAAGCAAATGAAAGTGTCTGACTTGGTCCAGCTGTACAGCAAGTTGCTGCTTGAAAAGCTTCACCAGTCTGTGAGCTGTGAAATTAGCATTTAAATGCGCCTCAAGCATGCTGAAAAAAATTAGCTTGCATTGAGGCCTGGATATGCCGATGAGGTGAAGTGTGAGTTAATGAACAGACTTACAAATATATATGTATGTTTCAGTAGTCCATGTTTCAGTGTTTTTTGATTCCTCCTGCCTGTATGTGGAACTTCGCTCAAAGCACATGATGTCATACTGAAGATGCAAATTCAACACTGCCTTTTCAGATACATATTCTCGTTTCTTTAAAGGGATAAAATGTTGCCTCAAAGATCTTGCCACTGTAGGTTTCAGCACAAACAGGAGTAAACTGAATATGCACGAGTTATTTTAAGCCACAGATTTTCATCCTTGTCTCAAGCTAATCACAATTCCTACAGCACAAGATCCCCCTCATCTAACGCATTTCTGCTTAAACAGCTGCATATTAAACTCTTAATAATTGCATTCATGTCTAAGCGTTCACACTCAGACTACCTCCCTCCAACCTACATGTAGTTTGTTTGCAACATTGCGGCTCCTCACTCAGGAAATGGCTGATTATGGACATAATAGAGGCACCAATTACAGGTTTCCAGCACAGCATAATTAGAAAAACAAATTAGTATTATATAAATGTGAATTCTTGGAGGAAGGTTTGGGATTTGGTGAACTTGTGAATATATACAGCAACAGGAGGCTGAATGTGAAATCAACCCAAAAAAAAACCACAGTGAATATGTTTATTATGAAGGGGGAACGTATCATCAAGGGCAGCATTGGGATTCTCTTATTATTAGTTTTAGAACAATGGATTTCTTTGGAGCACATTTAAACAGTACATTAGGCCTGGGCTACAGAGGCAGCGCATTTACTGGCTTGGAATTAGTTTACTAAAATAATAGGAAGTCAATTAAAAACCTGTCCTTAAACACATATTAAGATGTTAGTCCAATATTACTGTAAGTTGTAATACAGTATTTGGCTCTACCGCTTCCTGTCAGATACTGCTGGTTATTATTTCCATACACCATGTCTGTTGAATCAAATTTTGAGCCTGGTTTGATAAACTGAATCCGTATGCAGATTGTAGATGCAGAGTGACGCAGACAGAGAGAGAGTCTATCAGTACTCGTTTTATTCTCTCTCTTATCGCAGCAGAACAGAAAGCTGTGTGCTCTGCTGTCCACTGAAGCAGCGAGAACGATGCAAAATCTCCCAGTCCAGTGTCAAAGTGATCTGAACTCCTTCCCCACGTAGGTAGGCTACAGGTTAAACCACATAGTTGCTATGACAACAGGGCAATTCAAAATAACAGTCGTGCCACCTGATGTGCACCGGGCTCTCAAATGTTTCCAATTTTTGTGTAACTACTATTTTTGTGGCTTTGACTGTGAGGGAAATAAATCGGCAGTGAAACAGCTCCAAACAAAATGTGTTTTTTTCCAGCTGTGGCAATGACAAAACAATTTCACTTCTATTTCTGTTCTGAAAAATACAGCGCCACAACACAACTGCGTATGCTTTGCCCTGTCACAGCTGCTTTAAATGGCTTACCCACATGACCCGTGGGTGAATGTTCCTCGCTGTAGGCATTTATGTTTAAACAAGTCGTCGACAATCTCTTAAACACACTCATGGTTAAACAAACAACTCTGAGCCAGACATGTTTTTCTGCTTATGACAAAAACGTGATTTGTCAATCCAAAGAAGAAAAAAAAGTTCAGACTTTTTATCTACAGCGATACATCATACTTTTGTTTTTTATTTTTATAAATGGAGAATGTCAGTATAAAAAATGCTTTGAGTCATCGTTCTGATCTGATGTCGTGTTGCCAAAGTAAGTTACTTTCAGCTGGAGTGCACGATGGAGCAACAGTAAAGTGCTACATAACGCTGTCTTTTTTTATGATGTAGTGCAGCCTGAGCCCACCAAGGTTGACAGTTGCATTATTTGAAGAACAGCACAATAAGAATGCTTCCAAAAAAATACAACACTTTGGGGCTCTTTAAATCTTCCTACAACATCAACTAAATGTCAAAAGCAGACATAAATAAACAGACAGCCAAACTTAGAGTTGGTTCTCTTAGAGACAGGTAGTAAATACGTGTGTGTGTGTGTGTGTGTGTGTGTGTGTGTGTGTGTGTGTGTTTGGCAATAGTTAAACAGCCTTTGTTTCTTATCCACTTTTTGCTTGATGCTGCAGATTGGCACATACCTGCCTGCTCCTGTTTTAGTACCTTGCGCGGCTTCAAATCCACAAATCTCACTTTTCACTGAAAGCCGTAAAACTGATGTCTGGTCTATGACCTCTAAAGGACAAATGGGCTGCTCGCGCCATTCTCCTGCACTGTTAACTGTTTAGTTAGCTTCAGTAAAACAATCCCATTCAACATTTATAAGGAACTCCAGCTATTTAGTCGGTGCAACAGTTTTTTAGCAGAGAATCTTATTTATCCTAACATGTAGTCTAATGGTGTTGGGCCAAGCCCCAAAATTACGGAATCCTATTTAGCCCCTGATGCCAATCCATGTTTTTTTTTTTTGTGAGATCTTCCATTCACAGCCACAGAGGATTTGACTCTTTGTTACAATAATTAGATTTATAATATCTGCATTGTTCTTCTTAAAAAAAATGAATTACAAATAATGATTTCAGTACAGATTGTGTTTATTTTTGCTGTACAGTTTGTTGGCATCTCTTTGCCTCACCCTGTATTGTCACTTAATTACAGGACAGTAGGTGCGGTACTGGATGTAATGCAACAGTTTGTGTTTTCCAGGAGAATCCGTATGTGATGCTGCGACAGAACCACAAAGAACTGGAGGGAAATGACCGCTATGAAGGCTTCTGTGTTGACATGCTGAAGGAGCTGGCAGATATTCTCAAGTTCAAGTATCGCATCCGGCTGGTTGGGGATGGAGTGTACGGGGTCCCGGGAGCCAATGGAACGTGGACTGGCATGGTTGGAGAGCTCATCTCAAGGGTAACTAGCCTCTTAACAAACCCTAAGCCATTCATATTCTTATTTTCACATCACATACACATCTTTTGGAGGCATGTAGCATTCAAACACACATATGTATCACTCAGCTCTCATACACTTATCAGCCAGTGGCTTTCCATTTGTCATACACTCTTCTTTGCCGTTTGGCAGTTGACCTTTTCAGCTGAAGTATTGTTTTGGCTAAAACAGTCACAGCAAGTTGGTGGCTTATTCACTGTCAGCTTTTTTCCTCAAGCCTTCTAAGCTGACCTTAACACACTCTCCTCCTGAATCAGTCTATGTTGTTGCTGATAAATCTCTAAGCGAACTCTTACACTCTTTTCTGCTAAGCGGTGTGTAGCAGTTAACTGGCAGATAAGGTTACATAAGGGAGCTGAGGGGAGAGAAAGTAGTGGAATTGGCATAAAGGCAGGGGTGAGAAAGTACAGAAAGAGGAATGAAATCAAGAGGGACTGAGTAGATCGCAATTGGTGATCTGTCTTAATTCTGTGGGCTAATGGAGGGCAAAGTCATTAAGTATGTAAAGCAAGAAGTGCCCGTTCTTGTTATTGTCAGAGCTTGCCACCGTCCCGTTCTCCTGTAAGATGCCTGTGGAAGGCTGACCTTCAGAAGTGCCGTGGTTGAGGTCGGCACGTGTCTACATCAGCAGCTTAGGCTGTAGAGTGGCAAGGCAGCAGGGGTGGACAAAAAGTCGAGATTTGCTGGAGAGGGATTTGTCGAGGGATAAGGGACGTCTGGAGCGATGCTCCACGGTGGACAGAAAGGCTTCAGCTTGTTTGGTTAAAGGCTTAGGTTGGAATGGGAAAGATGGTGGAGGAAAAAAAGAACAATGGAAGGGCCATACTGTTAAGTTTTATACACTTAGTAGCTAAAAAAAAAAAGGACAGCCTGAGGTTACTGTGGTCAACAGATACCTATGCCCCCGCCTGTACCATTCACAATCAACTGTATTTCACAGCATGAGGGTGATTATTTTGAAAGCTGTCAGACGGCCTGACTAACAATGAGACATGCTAGAAGGAATCCAGACCAAATTGTTAAGTGCAGAACAGTGTGTCCTGGTTCTTAATTCACAGTGCTGCAGCAAAAGAACAGAGGCACATTATGTTGTGATTTAATAGAAATGGAAACAAGTATGATGCAATATTGAACAGCCAACATTACAAGGTTTTTTTTCCAGTTATACTAGAAGGCATAACAGCCGGCAGGCAGGCAGAGAAATCCAGTAATCAGTATTAATATTCAGTCCTAGCATAAATATTTCAGTGGCTGTTCCGACGTACGTGTGTGTTCATTTTTCAAAGGATCAGTGACTTTCTTTGTTGAAATTGCCTCGATGGTTGTTCCTGGCGTGTGGCTTCCTTCCGGCACTAAAAGCAGGCATCACACTTTCAAACAACTCAGAGAGAAAAAAAGAAGAGGCGACGGATGACAGAGGGTCAAAGCCTGCAGGCAGAGGATAGGGCAGCATGAGCTATTAGACTTCAGTGTGATGTGTAGGCAAGGGCAAGGTTAAAGAGGTGGACATTTTGAATGTAATGTGCTAATTGAAGCAAGTACACAGCAGGTCTGAGCTTTAAGTTGAAGCCAAATGTCTTCCGGTGGCATTTTGAAGCTGCTCTAAAGGTTAGGATAATTATGGAAAGCAACAACAATTTTCACATCACGTCAAAATGGATTTGAAAAAAAAAAAAAAAAAACTCCATTTCATGCATGGGAGTGTGCCCCCTCTCCACGTCTCTCTTTCCTGGAGATACAAACAGTGTGTTGTGAGTGACATCTGCAGTGCTGCAGAGCTCCTTTCTCCTCTGTCGCGTCCTCCCTTTCCTCCTCGTCTCCCCAATCCTCTTAGTTCTCCTGCAGCACACAAAGAGCAATGCGTTGCTGCTTTCACTCGGTGCTCCTCAGGGAGATGAAAAATCCCTTGCAGTAGCACTTTACTGGCCTGTTTTATTAGCAGGTAGCCATCCAGTCTTCCATGTGCATTGACCATTTTCTACGTATGTGTATCTCTGAGTGTGTGTGTGTGTGTTTTTCCAGCTGCTGCTTTGTCAAGTGATTTGTCTTGACAGCGTTCCCGTGACCGGCCACAATGATTACCCCGAAAGCTCTCTTGTGTCATCTACATGTACAGACACACAGAGTGGCATTGCTGGATTATCCTCACCACAGATAGAGCCATTGGCGAACAACGAGGCCATGAATACAAAAGGGCATTATTAGGGAATTTGTATCCACTTATTATGTCATCCTCGTCTTTCTCTGCGGCGCTTAAATTATCGGTTATGTCATAAACTTATGTCACGTCATCATGTCTATGTTAAGAATGCCTTTGAGTGTGTGTCTTTCCTGTTTACTTGGCTCTGTGTTTCAGAAAGCTGACCTGGCAGTAGCGGGCCTCACCATCACGGCAGAGCGTGAAAAGGTCATAGACTTCTCCAAGCCCTTCATGACCCTCGGCATCAGCATCATGTACCGCGTCCACCTGGTGAGTTACCTCCAACCAGCACCCATCCTCTCGAAAACCAAATGAAAGGGCTCTTGAGCACAGCTTGTGACCGTATCACAGTAGGTTATCATTTTTCTCTCATGGCTAAAGAAGAACCCGCTCTCACTTCACCTCCTCTGCCTCTCAGCTGCATCCTTCCCTCTGCATCTGTTTTTTTTTTTTTTCCCCTCCCGGCTGTACCCTCTGCTTCATTCTTTCCTCTTCTCTTCTAACCCTTAGTCTTACTTTTTTTGCCTCTTCTTTACCTCCCCCCTTCTGGCCCTGCTGTCTCAATTTGTTTACTTGTGTCCACTTCTACTGTGTTTGCCCATTTCCTCCTTCTGTTGCTTCGACCCCCCCATCCTGCCAGCACCAGATGGCACGCTTAACTGTGCGAACTTCCCGATGAACATAGCAGTTTCACAGTTGTTTTTCTTCTTGCCCTCTGAACGGGTTTGGCCATCTTGTTGTCACACATGCATTGCCCTCCATACTCCACAGAGAGCAAGCCCAAGCAAGAAACAGCAAAACAACAGCAGTGCAGGTGGAAATGAGCCAGTGTTTGCAGACTCAGTGGCCCATTAATCATCCGTCCTCCCTGAAAACCCAAGGTGACACTGCAAGGCCCGGCGTATCTCTGGCCATAGTCCACGCTGAGGTGTTTTGGCACATGGGCTAGCTAACATTAGTGTTGCTTCCCAGAGGAGCATTTACTCACGTTCCCTCTAGTACTGTCTCCCTTCCTTGTAAACCGCCCTCCCGCTCACCTTCCCTCACTTGGCGGGCAGCTCTAATAAGAGTAGCAGTGAGGCATTCAATTGAGCTCCAACTGTTTGGGAGAATCAATCGATGTCCGCAGCAGGTGCAGTGTTAAATGGCCTTCTGGGTAGCATATCACCTCTGAAGTGGGGGGCAGGTAAGCAGGTGGCAGCATTAGGAGGTGATATGGAGCTGAAGTCTCTGATGGCTAGCAAACAGATCCACAGAGATGAATTAGCACCGACATGACCCATTTCACAGCAAATTCCTGGATAAGAGGTCAATAAGAGCAATATAAAAAAAGATGTTATTAAGAAAAAGCACTTGTGAGGAGTATGGCATTTTGCAAAAAGTAAAGAGTGAACAGAGATAAATCGGAGAGGGAAGAGATGTGTCCTTAGTCCTTATCTCTCTCTTTCTCTCTCTCTTTTTCCATCATTTCCTCACGCTTTCTTTACTCTCCCCTCGCCCCTTGGCAGTTTCTCAGATCCGCCCCACGGCAGTCCCTCCGCATGGCTCTCAAATTCGATATTTGAATTTCTGTGACTGCACTTGTTTAGTTCTAATCCACTGACTATTGATCTGAGGCACAGTGATTTCTACACGGGGGTTTGCTGCTTATTTCAAACTTTAAATGAAAAATCCAGGCTGATCAATAAGAACGGCAAATGCAATAAAATAAAGGCGCCTGTTGGGTATTAATTACCATCAGACCATCGACCATTTAATCACCAGCTATCGTCTTTGTCTTTTTGTCTTTTCTCTCCCAACCAAACAATACTTTTCTCTTTTAGTGTGCAACCTTTTTTCCATGCCAAATGTTTCTCTTTTAAAAGGCTGTTGAAAGTATTCACATTCTGAGCCAAGAAATGTTGACAGTTTTTGTTTAATTGATAACAATAAAGAAAACAAAATCCAATTTTGGCAGAAGGACTTACATATTAAAAAGTTACCTTAAACCGTGCTCTGAATATCTTTGCCTTCAAGCACAAGTCAGTGGAAAGGCAGATGAGCAAAATTATAATTTTTCCTAAAAACATCAGGTTCCTCCACTCTTAAACTGTCAGCAGTCACAGTCACCTTTCATGTGCAGCATATACTACTCTTAATTACCCATGGTAGGATTTTGCATCTGTGTTTTAGGGTAGCAACAAACACAAGGCGTTTGACTCTCTGGAGGCGCTGCTGTAGCCTTGTTCTACGTCCTCAGTCCTGCTGTCTGATTTATCACGGCCACACGTTGAAGGGAATTATGGGAAAGAAGCTCAGACAGCCTGGTGCATGTGTGCACAAGACGAGCTCAACCTGGCTAGGTTCTCTAGCCATTTTGCTTTATTATTAAGTTTCCTGATGGGAATATGTTGTTTGCTATACAGTCATGTAGAATAGTGTCTGCACTGTGAGTTGTGCACGGGGTTTGAGGCTATATAAATACACTTGATTTCCTTTCACGTCCATTCAAAGAGCACACCTTCACCTCAGCTGCCTGTACAATACATTATTCCAGAGTTATGAACCCAGACATAACCTTGAGCTAGTGTTAAGCACTTCTCATAAAAACATCCCCCCATTGTATTGATAATCTGTACAACAAAAAGCCATATGCTACAACCCCAAAATCCCAACACTCCGAGGTACTTCATATCTGTGCCAGTTCCATCATATAAACATTTTCATCATTTTGGGAGCTGTGCGACTGAGTAAGCGTATGTGTTTGTGCATAAGAGAAAGCGGGGCTTAATTAGACGTAGGAGTTAATTAGGGCTGTGTGGAAGCTGTGTTAGCTGCAGCAGCCGCCCCCAGGGTAGAGCACAGCATACGGCGCTTTATTGACTTTCTTGCCACACACGACCTCAGACAAAATTACACAGTCACAAACACATGTAGCCCCTTTGCATACACACACACACACACACACACACACACACACAAACTTGCACTAAACACACAGACATAAATCCTGAGAACCTGTAGAGCCCAAGAGGCAGCAGGATGTTGTTGTGAATATGAACCTGTGACCTCTGCCAAATCAACTGCTCTCCTCAGATTGCCCCTGCGGGTATCTCAACAACTGAAACAGCTGACAGCGTCTTCTCTGACACACTCTGAAATGCAAACACTATCAAAGAGCGGAGAAAGGAGACAGAAGGTAGGGAGGCACGGGGAGGGTGAGGAAGAAAGATGACATAAAAGAGGATGAGCAAAAAATAGAAGGAGAGGCATAAGGGGTAGAGAGACGACGGATAAATGAGAGCAGAGAAGTGAGCAGGACAGGGAGCGACGATATGGCAATGGAAAGTCTCCTTCGGTGAGTCGGTATTCAGGCAGCCAGCCTCAGGGGGCATAAGTGTGGTATGAATACCAAGAAGCAGGATGACTAGGTGAAATCCTTGACTGGATAACCTTACCAGCTCCTTCAGTCACCCTGGTGTGCAGCCTTCTGAGAGGGGGGGGGGGGGGAGGGAGGGAGGGAGGGAGAGAAGGAGAGAGATTGGATGAAGGAAGGACGCCGGGAGTTGAGAGTGAAAAAGGACAGCACAAGGTAAAACAAATCAGGTCTTCGTCTGCATATAAGGAAGGAAAAGATGGGGCATTAACATACTATAATAGCTAACGATTCCTCGCTTTTCTATTTGTTAAGATGCACTCGTAAAAAGAGGTCATAAAGGATGTTAAGCCCTCTGTACCACGCCTGCACTCTGCGCGTCCTTCGATTCGCCTTGAGCCCTCTCATCATCTTAACATAACGATAAACCTCTACAAAAATGATTCCCCTGCTTCTAATAAAAATAATTTGAACACTGCAGCAAGTGTTTATGTGTGAAGTGTCGGGGCGACCTGTAGCCGTAATGTTTTGTCATGAACTCACATTTGGTGCTTATTCTGCCATGAAAACTGTTTACTGCAGCATGTTGACTCTTAATATATAACTCATGCTACATCTAATGCTTGGTTTTAGTTTCGGAGTCTTCTCTCTCGTCTTAATCCACATCTCTCATTAAACAGTAACTACCATTTGATCCATGGTATCTGTTTTTGTTTTGTTTTTTGTCCGCCTACCTACTGCCTCTTTATTCAGCACTGGTGGCCCCTGTGCAACGGGTTGCCCGAGCACGTTTCATATGTGCCCTACCGTGGATGACTGACAGCGTAGACAGCTGCTGACGAGCTTTGAAACACAAACACACAGCTACTGTCAGTCTGTCTTACGCAAGCTGACTGAAAAATGAAGCGAGAGCAGACCACCTTTGTGAGCTCACTGTCTAAACACTCATTCAGGATGGATGAGCTGGATTTTTGGACTTCTGGTCTCTTATAAATTGAATCAAGAGAGAAGTTAAGAATGAAGGTTTGTTTAATCTTGAATCCTCTCTTGATTTAATTAAATACCAGGAACCTTTTGTTGGTGTTTTAAAATACACTCAACCTTGGCTCAGGAGTTATTTATACGCTGTGCTAAAATAAGTGGCACTAAGGCCTGAACGGCAGAGATGAATCAGAGGTAACCTCAGTGAAGGACAGATGCACTATTTCATAATTTTCTGACATCAAAGGGAACAGAAGTCAGTCTGCCTCTCCTTTGGGCCACCTCTGCTCAGACAAGGATTCAGTGAGGCACTTTTTGTGCTGAGCTGAGAAAGCTGTGGTAAACAAACCTGTATCAACATTTTCTTTCTGGCTGCACAACAAGCTGTAAACACAGCATTAGCGCATATCACCTCCAAAAAGCTAAGAGAATGGGTTCACAAGAAGTTCCAAGAAACAGTTATTACACAAGAGTGAGGAGCTATATTGTTTCTGGCACCATACAAGTCCAGTATAGGAGCTGCTTTTAGCTATGATTTACTGAGAGAGATATCTGGCTCTTTAGCTGCTGCTCAATGATCCAGTGTTTAAGCTAGTAGCTAACTACACCCAAAAACGGTGAAGTTTCTGCTTTAAAATTTTTAAAAAAGGGACGGAGGGGGCTGAAAGTTTCTCAAACGCTCTGTAGAGCTAAGAGGACCTGCTAAACTGGGTTTCAGTTATCTGTTGGTTAATCCCACATTTGTGTCACAACACTTAACTGTGTTATTGTAAGAATATTTATTATTGATTAGCTTAAAAATAAAAAAGCAGGCATCATACTAGAATCCTTAACGGTGAGTCTATTAGGATTTTTTTCTGGGACTCAGCATGACCTAAAATGTTTGTTAAACCGAAATGTTTCCAGAGAAAATATCCTGACATATTTTAGAAATATGTACACAGATTTTCTGCATTTCCCTTTCAGGCTTTCTGAATCTCAGTGTGCTCATTAGTGTGTTTCTCACAGCCTTGCCACGGATAATTTCCCCTGCAACTCCGGAGAAACAGAACTTTGTGTCTGAGTGTTAAAGCACACATATTACAGCAACAGAGTCAAGAGTTCTTTGCAGCGCACGACTCCCACTTTTTTTCTTGTTGTCTTGTGATCTCTGTCTCTTCCTACCTTTTCTCTCTGTCTCTATTTCTGATCTTCTCTTCTGCACCTCCACTTCTCGTACATTTGCGAGCATGGGATTCCCACGTCTCCAAAGCTCCCTTCATCTTAATAATAGCACCTTGGTGGGAGCTTAAGATTCGGTCACACGGGGCAGGCTGTTTAAAAAAAAAAAAAAAGAAGCTGGTTCAGCATGCACCAAACCAGACTAGCAAACACAGGGAATCATGTCAGCATATATATATATGTAACCTCCTAAGGCAACAAGGGGCCGGTTTGCAGTGGTACTGAATATACCCTGAATGTTCAAATCTTGTCTGCCACGTTGATAGCTGTTGTGTGTTTTCAGACCTCGCTGTTCTATTTTCAGACAGCTATCATCATCATCAAGCACTACACTCCAAAGATAGACAGACATTAGGCAGGCAGGCTGATATGAATCTAAAAATTACACTGAATCTCACCCCTCCTTTGCTGCTTTCTGCACCACTCCCTTCTTACCCACTAAGGCTAATATGCAAGTGATTACAGACGCATTAATGAATTTTCGTCTCTCTGCCAGTCTAAATGGAGGTTCGTTTATCATAACAAATGCCTACCAATATAATTTCACCCTCTTGCTGCAAATTAAATTTCGAGGGGCCTCGGAGATGTGCTGCTGCAGTGTTCTGGCCTGCATGACGTCCCTTAGGAGTACCTGATTGAGCATTTTTTTATTAAAGCAATTTGGGCTGGTTGAGGGAGGGGTTGGAGGCTCCGCGGTGCAGCTTGTCAACACAGAAGTGGAAGATAAGGGATTTCTACATGACTGAGTGTTTCTCTCTCAGAACAACACTTTGGACAGTTGGCTGTTTGATCGCCACCAATATTTTACCCGTCTCGCTGGCCCTGACAGCCACCTTCATTTCATAGTCATTAACAGATGGTGGACGTGCATCTGTGTGCAAATGGCTGATATTCCCTCGCTGACGTTAGAGGGTACATGCTGAACATGCACAAAAGGATATATGAGCATATTTAAACACACACACACACACACACACAACGGCTCTGATGGCTGGCACTGCTTCACCAGTAATTGGTTTCATTTGGAGGACAATAGCTGTTGGTGCTGGATAGGAAACATTAGGAATTAGCCCCCTATATTCCCATTGGTCTACAAGCTGCCAACCCAATTTCAGCCACTTTCTCTTCCCTACCACTGGTTACCAATCCAAACCAGGGCTCCTCTCTGCCTGCATTTCTGTCAAAGCCAAAGCTATTAATCTTTTTCTTTTTTTGGGGACACTCGCTATGCACTCAGAGTCATACTGGAAGTCAATTATAGGTCACAGAAATGAATTCCTTTGTAATATAGCTGTAATAGTTTAGTTGATTGTTGGACCTTTCTCTCTCCACTGCATGCAACCTTGTGAAAAGTGTCAAACCTTCCCTGTTAATAATTTTGACCTTTAATTGTTCTTGTTACTCAAAGCTTTTTGTGTGTCGGATACTGTGTCTTTGTGATTCCATTTGAAAGCCTCATATTTACAAATGAACACAGAGAACTTAGGAAACAGACAGTTCATTCAGTTTGCGGTGTCAGAGTCCCGGAAACCAAACCTCTTATCTGTGATGTTCCATCAATACACAACTGTCTGCCACTCTGTTGACAGTTCATGGGAGACTGAGTTTGTGCTTTCATACAATGTTGATCTGAATGTTTACACGCAAATGAGATTCGTATAATTGTAGTGCTATCAGTTCGGGACAGGAAAATCTAAGCTTATCACATCGAAATCCTTTATTTACTGTCCCAGTCACCTTTTTTTCATCGTTACAAATATCACAGTTAGAATTGATTGTTGTTTAACAAGGACTAAACTGGAGCCTAGAGCAAAAATAATCACTTGTGAAATTCAGCAACATGTCTTTTAATTAATTGCAGCAGTATAGAGGTGATGGTAGACACTTTAGATATTTTTTGCATGCTAATTAGTTCATGTTCAACTTTACAAGTCAGCACTTAACCTATTGACTACATGTTGAAAAAAAGACCCTGTTGCATTGGCTCGTGTGATTTAAACTGGTTATTCAAGTGTAACATGGTCTCTGGAGGCTTTAATGATTTTAACCCTTCACTTGTGTGTGTGTGTGTGTGTGCGTGACAGGGACGCAGACCGGGCTACTTTTCCTTCCTGGATCCCTTCTCCCCTGGAGTCTGGCTCTTCATGCTTCTGGCCTACTTAGCTGTCAGCTGCGTCCTCTTTCTGGTGGCCAGGTAAAGAGCTCAGCAGTACAGATAAGAAGAGAGAAAACATTCAGTGACAAACAGAGGGGTAGAGTACAGAGAGTAAGAACACAAACAGGTTTATTTAGGCGTTATATAGAGGAGGAAACAGGTGTCTGTTCCCCCGCTTTTCTTCAGTTGATCTTCAACATCGGGGGGGGGGGGAGAGTTTTCCCCTCCCTGTGGTTTCGTACTCAGCGTTAAACTGACACCTGCTGGTTAGGAAGGGAACTGGAAAAACTACTGCTGCATGTTTTAATTGCTTATACTACTGAAACATTATCAAATGACATTGTAGCTTATGAATATATAAATCTCATGTATCACTCGGTAGAAACAAATGACTATTCCCACAGGGGGTATGTATTCCTTCTCACAAGAGAGTTTTAAGAAAATAGGAATATGAAAATGATATATATAAGTGTAGTCATTGGATCATGAGCATTATGTAAATAATATGCATTCTCAGTTTATTTCTAAAATGTGTTAAGAATACTAAATCATACACAAACATATCACAAATTAAATTAGCATTAAAGGCAGAATGTGCAACATTTTACACATAATTAAAGCAGAAATCTAGTATACCATCTGTAAATATCTCTCTGAGTCATGACTGTCTACTTCGAGTGTGACGGAGGCCGGCTCATCCCCTTGCGTATAGAAGCTGTTTTGAGTGAGGGACTATAGAAAATGAATGTCATTTAAGTGTTTTTAGATCATGCTCATTCCGTCTAAATGTACATGCAACGTACGAGCAAACTAAAGAGCGCTACAATTAGCCTGCTAACCCGACAATGCAGCTCGAGACAAGGACAATTTTGTCCGCCACTTGAGCTTAGTGCTTAATTAATGTGCGTTCCAGTTTGACAACTCCTTTGTGCAAACGCGAGGGGGAGAGGGGTTGGAGGTGTGTCGCATGTAGGAGAGCGGAGGATTCAGTGTGGCAGAGGTATCGTCAAACAGCAGTTTGTGTTGGTTTCATGACGGTGCTCAAGGGCCACATCTACTGCATCAAAAAGTCACACTTTCTTTCTTTAAAGCACAACAGCTAGTATGAAGCGCTTTGCAGAATGTGTTTCTGTAACTCCATCACAGTCCAGGGAAACGAAGAACAGGAATCTCGTCCACTTGATTACAAAAACAATATTTTCACTGCCAGTTTGAACCAGTTCAGTCAGCTAACACTTACGATCTAAATATGGGAAAAACGAATAATGTTGATGTTATCCTAAAAAGTGGTCACCATAAAACCATTAAATTCCACCTTCTTTTTATCAATTTATTTTTGTTAAACAAGGCAGACCAGAAGGACATTTACCTTCACAGAGTTATCACTCAACTGAAGCTTCATGGAGAATCATATGAACATAGAAATAAGAATTATTTCACCTCTTTCTTTTTAAGTAGGCAGCACAGTGGGAATGAAAAGCAGGTTGATTCTCCCTCTTGAGAGCCAAGGTGACTTTGTGCTCAGTCGAACATTAGAGATGTTTTTTCCTTATCTCTCTCTCTCTTTCTGTCTCCATTTCTATTTGCTCTGTCTCTTGAGTTTTGCTCAGAATACCTAATCCAGCTTTCATTCCCACTCACGTTGGCTGTACTCCTCCAGTGATTTACTCTGTTATCAATCTCTGTGTCTTTATTCTGCCCAGATTGACTCCCTATGAGTGGTACAACCCCCACCCCTGTCTGAAAGGTCGCTGTAACCTGCTGATCAACCAGTACTCACTGGGCAACAGCTTCTGGTTCCCTGTTGGAGGCTTCATGCAGCAAGGATCCACAATTGCTCCCAGAGCTCTGTCAACACGATGTGTCAGCGGAGTTTGGTTTGTATTCTTCAAAGAGACACACAAACATGAATTGAATTTGAATGTTTGTTTTAATTCTGTGCGTATTTCTCCATCATGGATGCATTTCATCTTTCTATTTGATCTTGAAGTTTGAGTGCAGATTATGGGGACATCATTGTTGCAGATGAATTAGTGAGGGCAGTTCTGCATGCATAATGCCGGAGACATTGAGGCTGTTAGCACCTTGTAGTTAAATCCCTCCTTGGTGATCTGATTAGATGTGGATAGCCTGAATGCTAGCTGTGAAAGGGACCCCAATGTGTCCTGAGGATGGATTGAGGTTGTCTGGCACATTATCCATGTTGTCTTTGGTAGTGTAAAATACTCATTCCTCCTGCAAAGCATTAAGGACCGCCCCCTCAACTTTGGAGTACAATGCAAACTCCTACTCTGTGTCAACTACTATTTGCATGCGATGCAGGCAAGTTAGTTTTGAACTCAAGTACTCAGTGGAGAAGTATTGTTGATGAATGACTGTACTTAAGTGCTGTCCTCTTATTATCAGATCACACCGGAGGGATGTTCATGCAACATGCGAACAACCTCATTGTCTGCGTATGTCTGTAAAAACGACATTCCTTTCATCCAAACTTGTACATTGTCACCTTCATCTGTACCCACCGCCACATTCATCCATCTGCCCCGTCATCCTCTGAAAGTCCTGCAGTGTCTTCTTTTCTCAGGTGTGCATTTTTTATTTTTTTTTTATCCTCCTACGTTTTCACCCAGACAATCCGTCTTCATACACCTGCCTGCACATTTACATACTTTTATAGGCGAATACATATGTTCTTGTCCCCTGCCTTTCCCCCACAGGTGGGCCTTCACATTAATCATCATCTCATCCTACACTGCCAACCTGGCTGCCTTCCTGACAGTGCAGAGGATGGAGGTCCCCATTGAGTCCGTAGACGACCTGGCAGATCAGACAGCGATAGAGTACGGCACCATGCACGGCGGATCCACAATGACCTTCTTTCAGGTCAGAGGTTAAACACATACTTGCATATGATCGATTGTTTATACTATTAAACAGCCACACAACCACATGTATACACACCTAAGATCACCTGCATTGATCAATGAGCCATCTGCTGCGTTATCTCTCGTCACCTTCCTGTCCTTCCTGTCTTCCCCATCTAACCACAGGTTTTATCTGTTTCCTGTCTGTTCCCCACACAACCATTCAATATCCCTATCCTTGGGGAAATGTAGCACTGTCCAAGGCCTTAAGAGAGACACACACTATCCTCTATTTTTCTCTCAAGACTTGACCTCACAAGAGTGAGAGAGAGAAACAGAGTGTTACACAGAGACAGTGAAGGATGTATAGAGGAAAGGAGAAAGGGACATTATCCTTGTCTTTCATTACGCGCTCACGTCCACCGGACCTTGAATAACTCAGGGAAGACATGTCAAGATAAACTAGAGGACATGTGAGGACGTAAAATGAGGATTCTGTTCCAATCTCTGAATGCTACACAAGGAGAAAAAAATATATGCTGATAAACAAACGTCTGCAAACTGCAAAACACCTTTGGGGAGGGTTATGGAAGGGTTTGAATAAATCTATCAGAGGGGAAAATGAAAAGGAAAAAAGAAATGAAAACAAATCTGCTCTTCTGAAAAATGTAAAAATATGTATAACTTTGTATGACTGTTGTTTACTGTCTCCCACATCTGAGTCTGTGTGAATCTTGAACCGCTGATTGTGTCTGGCGCTGCAGAACTCTCGCTACCAGACCTACCAGCGCATGTGGAACTTCATGCACTCCAAGCAGCCCAGTGTGTTTGTGAAGAGCACGGAGGAGGGCATCGCCCGCGTCCTCAACTCTAACTATGCCTACCTGTTAGAGAGTACGATGAACGAGTACTACCGCCAGAGGAACTGCAACCTGACGCAGATCGGAGGACTGCTGGACACCAAGGGCTATGGAATTGGCATGCCGCTGGGTGAGTGGGGGAGAAGGGTTAAAAGAAGGAGAAGAAAAGAAAAAGGACAACTTAACAGCTCACTCACACAGGTGGCGAACCTGATAGCAGTGTCTTTAATTGGTTTAAGTTTGGTTTTAGTTTAATAGCGGTATAGAGAGGATCCGAGGTTCGCTGTAAAATGAAGGCAGCAGAGGGTAAAAGCTGAGGGTTTTGCTTAAATTTGCTGCATAATTCATACTAAAGCTAAGAAGGGAGAATTGAAGAGCAGGGGTATTAGTTGGAGGATACACCATAAACGTCACATTAGTGCGTTACACTGAAGAGGAAAGCCTCAGAAAAGCCAAACCATTAGCTGCTATCATGGAGGAAAGTGATGCAAAAAGAGAGAAACTTCTGAAATAAAAAAACGACTAAGCACTGCACTTTAAAAGAGCAGCTGTTTCCCTGCTGTGATCAGAGAAGTAAGGAAGAGAAAAGCAATGTGTTTATTGTTCCCTTCACTGTACGAGTGCGCTTCACTGCTCCGAGAGTGTGCACCAACACTGTTTACTTACACTTTGATCTCAGGTTGAATAGTGTGAGAGAAACACACCTTAAAGTAAACAAGATTAATTTCAATTCCTTTGATCTTTAAAGGACAGATAAACCCGGTGTTCAGTGGATCGTTTTCCGTTGCCGCATACTGTGATGTGACCTGTAGAACACATCTAAACGGCTGTAAGCCCTTTAATCCTATAGTTAGAATCCTTTCCTAATCCTTTTGTTTGAAGTTTTCCAAAATTGTAACATAAATGCTCATTTAATACAGCCAAAAAGGTCCCCGAAAAAAACATACCCTCCCTGTGTTCATAAATATGTATGTATCTAAATGTCTTATCACCTTTCTCTCTGCCCTTCAGGGTCAGTGTACCGTGACGAGTTTGACCTGGCCATCCTCAAAATGCAGGAGGACAATCGTTTGGAGATCCTCAAGAGGAAGTGGTGGGATGGTGGCAAGTGTCCAAAAGAAGAGGACCACCGTGCCAAAGGTTTAACTCCGGCTAATCCTCATCTGCTTGTTCTTCTGCTCCACTTCTGCTTGTGTCTGGAACAACACTTCAACAAATCCCTTTTCCTGTCCTCTCTGCCCCCCCCCGTCCCATTGTCTCCAGGTCTGGGCATGGAGAACATCGGCGGTATCTTTGTGGTGCTGGTGTGCGGCCTGCTGGTGGCTATCTTCATGGCAGTGCTGGAGTTTGTCTGGATGTTAAGGCAGGCGCCAGGAGATGAGGTGAGAGAGGGCTATTTAACCTGCATCTGCTTTGTCTCCCTCTCCCCTCCCTGGTACCCTCACCCTCGGGGAGCAGCAAGGCTTTCCAGCTTCTAAATTTGATAGAAAGCGTAGCAGGCGCCTCCTTTGGGTGACATGTGGCACCGTCAGTACAGCCGATGAGCCATTAACAGCACAAAACCAAAGATATACCTCATTTATACCTCACTAAGAGTAAATGCATATATGGAATATTTTATATTTGTAGCATTAAGATTCATTCATATATTCTTTACTTATAATATGGTGCATTATATATAACACTGACTGTAGCTGGATCTTATTGGTGGTGAACACATGCTAAAAGGTTCATGCCATGTTTTATCCCAGCCTTAATGAATTCATTGATTTAATGAAAAGATGTCTACCATTGTGTGCCCATGCATCTTCACCTGAAAACCTAATTGTCGGTCAATAATTGACCGTCAACACACCCACGTGTGGGAAGTAGAGTTGAGGATCTAAAGAACTATACTTTCTGTAGACAAAAGAAGGTTATTATTGCTTGTGTAAAGTGCTAAACACAAATAGTGTGTGATTATTATAACCAGAAAAACTGTTGACGTTTTTGAATAAAAATATATATTGCGGTATGGACTTTATTGTAGCTACATTCAGAGTGAGGACTAGGAAGCAACATGAGGAGTTTCTCCAATCTATTGACAGAACTTATACCAATTTAAAAGAGGGGCTTTTTCCCCCCAGACCAATTTAAAAAAAAAAGTTCTTCTGTTTTGCAGAAGCATTTTTTTTTTTTGACCATTGAAATTGCCAGGAAATGTTCAGATCTGTTTGTGGAGGAGGTCATCTTCGCTGCCGATGAATATATTGTTGACAAATATTCCAGAGAAAGATGTGCATGCAGTGTTCTAATATATTAAATGGTAATATATGATGTGATTCCTTTAAAAAAAGATACTTGATAAATGTCTTTTCAAATGGACTCCGCACTGTGATTTGAACTCAATAAACATTCAGAACGTGAAAGTCAAAAACCAACTCATGTGATTTCTTCTTCTTAAGGGGCATCAATTAACATGTAGACTGTGTGAGTGTTTGTGTGTAAATGGGTGTTAGGTTGTGTGATATAAACCTGTTTGATCTGTACAGTTGTTACTCTGCAATGGTAGTTTTTGTGTAATGTGAGAAAGCCTCTACTGTCGTGATCTAAGCGGTAGTATCAATAATAAAACTATAGTTTACATACAGTTTACATACAGTCCAAAATAGGGGAAGCGCTTAATCGTCCGTCCAGGAGGTATGATGTTATTTAAAGGTCTGTGTGTGTGTTTAAAAAGTAAGTTCACTTTATGTCTGCGCTTCATGAAATCTTAGTTTTACTGCTGTGTTGAAGCTACACTACATCTCTCTGTTGATCTCCCTACGTAAACAATTTTAAGAAAAAATAACCATGAAACGTTTGTGTTATGTGTCTGTGATGTCCATCAGTCTGTCCTGATACAGTCAGTCAGTCAGTGAGTTGTCTGGCCTCTCTCCCTTTCTCTCCCTCTCTTATCCCCTCTACCCTCTCTTTTTCTCCCTGTGTGTGTGCTTGCAGCAGTCAGTGTGCGAGGAGATGCTGCGAGAGCTCCAGGGGATCGTCCTGTGTCGCGACAGCTTGCAGGTGAGGCGTCGACGGTCTTCTTCATTGATGCGACCGCGCCCTTTACCCCTGGAGGAACGTCGGGCGCGAGCCGCTGCCGTCAGCCTCAGCAACGGGAAGCTGTGCGGGGGCACCGGACTGCCTGAACCCCTCTCCCACAGACTGGCGCAGGAGGCCGCTCTGGTTGCAAGGGGCTGCAGCCACATCCGTATTTGCCCTGAATGTCGACGCTTCCAGGGATTGAGGATGCGTCCTGGAGGGGCCACAGGGACCCTCCCCTCTCCCACGCACAGTGAGGAGAGCATAGAGTGGGACAAGACCACGAATAGCAGTGAACCTGAATAACGCCAAGTGATTCTGCTTTTCAGGGATCAGAGATCACATGGTGTTTTGGTTCAGCTGATCAGAGTTTTATCCTAAAGGGCAGGACGATGCTGTGGACCTTGTTTTGCCCTGGAGGCACGGCCAGTTAGCAGTTTTGGAATCTCCTTGGGTGAATTTTTACCTTGAACACAGGAAAAACTGATGAGTCTGTCTCATTGTGGTCTGTCCCTGTTGGCCCTTTGTACCATGTGAAACAGTATGGACAGAAACGGCTATGGGGCATTTGTACTATGCAGTATTTTCAGTCATTTATCATTGTGCTCTTTCCTTTTTTTCTTCTTTTTTAAATTATTTCTGTCCTCTGTTGGATTATCAGTACTGAATATTGTTATTCAATTCAAAAAACAAAAAACTTTAAAAAAGTTCCTTTTTTTTTTATCTGTCAGTTTACTGTATGAACATATATTGCCTCTGAAGAGCTGCAAAGACAAACAAGTCAACCTTCAAGTCCTTTTATTTTGAAAGTGCCAAAAACCATGAGTATAATCTTGTGGCTGGAGAAAGCACCACGGCCTTGAGAAGACAACAAACTGAACCTAGAATAACAAACAGAGACATTCAGACAAACGGACATTTTTTTATAGTAGTGATATTCTATTAAAAAAAAAAGTTTTAACTGTTGGTATCTCTGAAAGACAGCGATGCATGTCCAGACGTGTTGGCAGGAGCTCGCTGAATGATCGTTTGCTGGTGGCTGAGTTGCTGAAAGAATGATTTCCTGTTTTGAATACCTGCTTAAAATGGTTATTGCTTCACACAACACACACACACACACACACACACACACACACACACACACACACACACACACACACACACACACACACACACAACATCCATTAATTCTCTTATTCCATCTGTCTGACATCTTAAACACTATGAAACATTTATTGTCTCTTCACTTGTCCTCTTTATGATCTCTCACTTAAAAAAATATATCTACTGTCTCCTGCATAGCACACTCTCCCTGTTAGAGGTTAGCACTGATTTCCTCCATCTCACATATTTAAAAATGATTCAGTTTTATGAGAATAAGCCGGTGTGGTAATGAAACCCAATATATATCACAACCACAAAAAAAATCTCCCTGGTAACATAAATGGGTTTTATATCAGCAGTTGACTATCATTCTGTTAAATGTCAAAGCAGTTAAACTTTTATTGGCTCTGATGTTTACACACTGCATTGGAGTAGTTCAGTTCAGAACAGCCTAGAGGCCCCTTGACATTTTAATTCTTTCATTTCTGAAAACACTGCAAATCTAACTGAATGTTTTGATCTGGCCCAAAGAGAAAACATTTTTTTTTTTTTACTTGAATGATTTTGGAAGTGGTAAACATCTAGGGCAGACTGATAAAGTTGACATTTATATTGCTTTAACTGTATTCATTCATTTATTTGTTTTTATTTGCAACATGTAAACCTGTGGTTCTCAACTGGACTAGCCTCAGGACCCACCACCTACTCCCAAGTAAGAAAATCGTGAGCCAAGACGGTACAAAACATGTAACAGAACAAAGAGATGAAACAAAACAAACATGCTTTAAAAGTAATTTTAAGACACTTTTTTGACACTTGAAAACTATTCCACTACCCACTTTTGGGTCCTGACCCACCAATTGAGAATCACTGATATAATCCATACTTAAAGAAGTAAAATAATAACACAAAAACCACCAGCAACATTATTCTTAATTTACCTTGAGCAAAGACTGTGACTTAGTATTTTCCCATTGAACTGACCATTTCGATAGCCCGACTGTTGTACAGAAGGAATCAGCAGTCATCCTCATGTCTACATGCTTCTTTTTTATTTCTGATCTGGCCATCATTTAAAAATAATGCCCATCAGGTGCCGTCAATCATCATTCCTCAGAACTAGGCCACCAAACTCTACACCGCTTGAAGTTACTGCTGCAGTTCACTTTCTATCAGTCATTTTTCACCTGCAGGTTATCTGCATATTCTCTTTAAAGTAGCAACCTCTTTCTTTCTTTTTATTATTATACTTTATTGTCCATCAAATCTCATTATTCATATGTCATAAAATCAAAACGGCTTACCCTACCTACACACAAATCAAAACCTTTTCCTTTCCAATCCAAACTTGCTCCCAGCATCCACCCACGAACAAAACAAGGGTAGCATAATCTCTCTGAGACATAAAGAAGTCAACTTACATCCTTCTTTGTTCCTGAATATTCTGACAGCTCCAAGATTCCCGTATTAAGTTCTTTCAAACAACAAAGGCATGAACAAAAATGGTGTAATACCAATAAAATATCAAGGTGGCATATTCATAGAACTCAGATGCTAGATTGACACTTAAATTTAAAAAAAAAAAAAAACCTTGGACAAGAATTGCCTAAAGGGACCTTGAAGACATTAAAAACATAAGCCATAATTGTGCATCTATAGTGTTACAAGTTGTATCATGGTAAAAATGTGAGAATTGATGAAATATCATAGGATAACAAAAATGAATTAATCTGAAGTACCCTGCAATGTTACACACATTGATTTGATGTGTTTGTCTATATGTGTATCATATATATTTGTGTGTGTTCCAACTGTTGCCTTGTTGAATCATAGTTTTTTGTTATTCACCAGCACAGTAACATCTCTATATATGACCTCACCCAAACTGCCTCTATGTATTTTGAGCACCTGTTCTTGCATGAAGGGCTGTGATTGGTGCGCTGTATCAAAGGCTGGTGAACAGGTGAAACTGTGATGATCAGCTGCTGACAGACCTGGAGTAAACTGCATTATCAGCATTATTATTCTTCTCCAGAGTTTCCAGTGAATTCATTGTTTTGAACCTTTTTTGCAACTGGAATACTAAATGTATATGGTTTATTTTGTGTTTTTTGTGTGTGTGCCATATTTTTTATGTTAGTTATCTAGCTTCACACTCAGGTCTGCAGCGTGTCTGAAATCCCACAAAAATGCAGGGGTGTTTCAACCAGCACTGAATCTGGCACCCCAAAGAAATTATTGGGAATTCCAAAAGCAACTCACCTAGTTGTCAACTAATTACCTGTTAACGTCTTACGGTGTGTAAATACAGTTTGATCAACAGGAGTCCCCAGTAATGGTTCATAGTGTTGTAACAGTCATTACACACACACCTACATGTGTATCAGGATTATATGGACACATTATCAGACATTTAGACACATACAAATGCACACCAGTACAGTTTGTGAGCATTTGATTTAAAAAAAAAAAAAAAAAAAAAAAAATCCTTGCAGACAGTAAACTTTCTATATTTCTTTATATATTAACTTGTTAAAGGGAAATTGCCAAGAAAATAGCAAAGAAAGAAAACCAAATTTCTTTATGCGTTTTATAAAAGAAGTTTCTATCCATTTGCTGAATGTTACTTTGAAACTCATGAAAGTGTGGCTCTCGCTGCACCCGATGCTAACTCCTTAAATACTCAAAACATTTACAGGGGTGCTAAATCAAGCGTAGTTGGAATGAGATTGCCAATTACCTTGAAGGCAGGACAAGCAGTGCAGTACGAATTAAAACAAATCCCTCTGAAACACTGGACAGCCTTCGCTGGGAGACCTCTGAGTCAGATGGCAGGGATTGGCTGCTATATTTTATATGCTTTATTTTCTTATGTTGACATTTTTATCCCATTATAAATACATTTCTAAAAACAACCTTCTGTGGGGGTTCTGGGTTTGTCTTTTCTTTTACTCTGATTTATACGACCTTCTAATCTGGTTAGATCTGCCATGCTTAAAAGCCTCTGAGTGCACACTGTTTTCTAAGTTTAATATTCAGCCAGGAGAAATATTCAGACAGTGCTCATGTTGTATTTTTTGCATTATGAGGATACAAGGAGTTTCTTGCTTAACGTGATGATTTGTTGGGTGAACCAGAGGGAAATGATGCATTAACCTCCCCTTTCTCTCCAGGAGCTGAATCAACATCTGCACACTTGTGAATCTGTTAAAGCGCTGAGAATTTGCGTGGGTGTGATGTTTTAACGTGGGGGTAATGAGTTTAGCAACTCACTCGTGCTATATTTGCATCCACTCAGCCGTAGTCCATCCATCAATGCTATTTTCAGTGGATGTTTCTGCCTTCTCAGGATAGTGAGTGAAGGCCAAACAACAAACTGCATCTAGTTAATGGTTTCATTCCAATCTCTCTCTCTGTCTCGCTCTCATCTCTGAGTGCCAGTCTCCCCATCTCTCCATGACAAGTTTACTCACCAACTGCACGTCTCAGTGCATCTCCCCTGCACCTACGGAACTCTTAACAAGAGTGACAAACACACCTCAGCCCTCGCTGCCACCTGTATGTCACTGCCGTGTCAAGTTTATTTAACCACGCTCATGCCTCTGCTGCTCCAGGTTCATAAACTCATCGCATCTCATCCCACCAGTGACGTGCTGAACTGCTGCTAGCTTTATGGAGGCCACGTTGAGCACCGAGTGCCTGCAGGGGTGTGTGCAAATCTGCTTCACTCCTCTTTGCTCTTGATCTGCTTTCACTTCTACGATGCCTAAACCTGACACCTGAGACGTTTATATACATTTTTTTATATTATTCATTCATTCCTAGACTTGTATTCAGATTGACTTAATTACTTTCTGACAGCAATTTTGAAATCTATTCATACCATTTTCACAGCCAAGATTGCATCTCTTTGTCATACACCTGCTTTCTCTTTTCTGACAGCAGATTTCCCAAGGTTAACAGCCCTGCACGTGTACATCCGCCCCATAACAACCACTAATGAGCAGCTATTCTAAGGACACCAATTGAGAGACAAAGCAAATCAGTGGAACCAAACTAATTCACAGTGAGACAGGCACACATTTTTATAAGTGAGGGCTTTCCTATTGATTTGCTTGCAGTCAATTGCAAAAGGCTTGTTGTTGTTGATGTTGGGGTGTACTTAAAGAAAAGGTATTCAGAAAGAAAGAATACCATCCAAGGTGAAGGACTGTCGAGGCTGCTATACAGCCTTTTGTTGTTGACAGCTTCTGTTGAGCTTATTGACCAAAACATCTTGGCATTGTTTGTCTTTCAGAGAAATAAAATGGAGTTTCATTTACTCTGTGTTTTGTTCCCTCACTATTCATTCTCACCTTGATCGATGGCCCCACAGAATGGGAAGCATTGATTACCTAATTTTGTGTTCCTGTGTGGGGGTGAGAGTGAGTGTGTGTTCACTGTGTTGGTGTGTTGGTATGGGTCTCTCTCTAATGCTCTGGCCTCCCTGGGAAATCAGTGTCGGCATCTGGATTCATCAGCTGGAGGGCCTTTCATTGCGTCATTACCCAAAAGCCGAACAGACAGCCAAGTCGAATTCAGAAGGAAGTGCAGCAGCAAGTGCATGTTTTCTGATGTCCTTCAGAAAAATTCAAGAAGACAGCTTTTATCATGGAAATCGATCAACAGGGCACTGCCTTACAAAACTACATGAATTCTTTAGAGTTCTTTTTTAAAGGTAAAACAGTCATTCGAGAGGTGTTTTAGAATTGGCGTAAAAAGTCTGTGTTAACCTTAAGCTCTAAAGTTAGAGTGCTTACCTGTCACGCTCCATAGCGACTCCACCTTTGATCAGAGCATAATTTTTCTTCCGGAAATTAAATCACTGACAGCAGACAAACATTACCAGGGTTAACATTAGAACAAGTCTATTAATCATACGCATCATGGACAAAACACCTGCCTGATGGATGTGAAAAAGGTTAACCTGTGGATATAAATTTAGGGTATATCATGAACTCCAACTACAATAAGGAAATTAATGATTTACCCTCATTCTATTTTGCTTGAAAATAATTCAAATTCCATATATTTCCACAAATTTACATTTCAACTTAACTGCATTTCAGAGGAGTAATGTATACTTTCTTTTCTAAACATATTTACCAGCTAAATAGTTGCATTGTACCAAATAAATACATTTACCTGCAAGTGCATTCTTAGAGCTTCAACCTAAGGTTCCCTTTACTTATCATGCCTTATAAAACAGTATTTCTTTCTGGCCCCTTGTAACGATTCATTTGTTTAAAGAGGTCTAAGCAGGTCCACCAAACACAGTTTCCTTCTAAACTTCCTGAAGGGATTTTCTTTAAATGAGTTTGAGAACGTATGAGGTAAAATTGTTAGATATTTTTCAAAATAAAGGAAGAAGAAGAAGAAAAAAAACAACAATAAAGATGAGTATGAGGATTGTGTTTTCTCTTTTCTCCTACCCCCCAAAAATCATCTCATGACCTCTTCCATTTATCTTGTGACCTTTTGGAAAGGGCCCTGACCCCTTTGTTGGAAACCACTGAAACAAAACAGATAAAAGATCATACTAAAAGATGTATACTTCAAGGACATAAAGTAATTTAAAGTATCTGTTTCACATCAACCACAGAAGAAAGATTGCACATGGTACATGACAATAACCTATCAGAAGGAATTATTTGACATTGATATAAAATAATTGAATTAAGATATTTTAAAAACAACTGTCCTTTAACTTGGTGTATTTTTAATGTTAGATTTTAACTTAGAGAATTTGACATTCCTCTTTTTAGTATTTACTTACTTAGTACTTTCAGCCCGACTGACCAATGCGGAGTATTTAACATGAGCGTTTACATAAAACTAATACATAATGACAGATAATACTACTTAGCACACATTTTGCTAAGTAAAAATAAATTTTCATGTTCCCTACCGAACAGATTGCACTATGCATATTGTCATTTTTAGCACTGGGAGGACATCAGAAAACCACATCAAACCCCACAAATCAAAAACGCAGACTTTGAAAGCCAAGGCTCGTTATGGTTTGAGGACAAAAAAAAAAGTGGTTCTCAGATAAAGACATCTTGAGCTCCAGTCTTAATTGGTCATCAAACCACAGAATGATTTAAATCCCAGAGTAATCGATTCATTACCTCCCAGATGAAAGGCTAAGATAAGAAATCACAGTGGGCTGTGAAGAAATTGCACGAATGACAGCTTTGTGAAATCTGTTTATGTGGCTCCCTGCAGGGAAAGTTAACTTTAATTGAATCTGAGCAGACTCATCATATTTCCTGCACCATTAACTGTTATTTTGCCTTCTTCTTGTTATTGTCAACTGTTAGTCCACCTCATATTGACATTTATTTTTTGTTTCCTGTTTGAATTCCCTCCTTCGCATAATGTATGTTGATGTAAACAAGGCAGCTTAGTATTATTACAGATTACCAGTCCCTTCCTTGTCTAGTGTTCATGTTACCGGGTTACATCACACTTTCTGTACCACCATATATGGCGTCTCATCCACTGATCAAAAAACACCCTAACAAAATAGTATTCTCATTGTCATCATTGCTAGCATGGCTATTGATTTTAAAGCCTTTATTGATGTGTTTATACAGTACAGCACACGTATCATTCCTTTAATGTGATTGTGTTCCTCTTCTTATTTTACTAAAGACACCATCTTTGAAACCATTGACAGTCATTTGCTACATCTAGTGGTCATTACACGACATTACAAACACTTTATGGATATCTATGGATACATGCAGTCAGATCTGCCCATTTTGTACTCTGGTGATGAAATATGGTACCAACAGCCACAGTTTCAGGCATACTTAATCATGAGCTAAAAGTTGATAATGTCGCAGGTTTCACTTTTGTTTTACGAAAATGTAACGGTCTTATTTATCAGAACCTACAAATGTGTCTCATCGAGAGGAGCGGCTGCCTTTAGATCTTTTAAGTCTGTCTCAGATGTTCGCAGCATTCAAGCCAAATTCAGAGAGCAGGTCCTTGTGATTTTGATGAAGCTCTGTGCTCTTGCCCTTCCATTCCTGTCCAGCCACAGACAGCTGGGAAGTCAGACAGTCTAAAGTCTCCTGTAGATAAAAGAAAAATCAGTGAAAATTAGATGTGACCGAAAGGTTTCCCTTTAAATCACCCAGTTGTCTAACCTGATCTCCCTCCTTCCCTTTAACCACTTTAAACTCTGATGAGTTACAGGACTGCGCTGATGGGGAAGAGACATAATTACATTCTCTGTCGCACAAGGAGAGACAGAAATAATAATGATTACTTATTGTAAAATCATGGCTGCATAATCACAGACTGAGTCTACGATAAAGGGCTCCCGACATGACCACTTATCTTTGAAGATCTGCTCTCTGAAAATTTGCATCTGCTGTCAGGGCTCAGCCAACTGGCCTGATCCTACTAAAGGGCCCATATTATGCTTTTTCTGGTTTTATATGCTCTTCAGTGTGTTTTCCAAGTGTCCTGTGCATGTTTAGGCACATCTATGTGGGAAAGTTCCGTGGAAACGCGGCTTCGCCTACGTCCTCCTGTTAGCTGCAGCATTAGCTGCATGTAACGCTCAGTTCTAGCCCCCATCGATAAAAAATTGTCAGCGCAGCGTCTTTGTCAGTGTGAGATCACTGATCTAAGCCCATTGGCTCGTTGTGGCAAGCCCTGCAGCTCATGTTGAAATTTCCGAGAAGCGTGCTGAGCAACTGACCAATAATGACAGAGCGGATTGGCAGACCAATCAGAGCAGACTTGGTCCATGTGGGGCTCTGCAGTGGGGGCTCAGCAGAGCGTAGAGGGAGCAAGGAGGAGCAGTACATGAAAACAGACCCTTTTTTCAAACTTTAGCTATTGTGAACATACAAAAGTAGGTACATAGATTAAATATACAAACCCCAAAAAGGGCATAATATTGGCTCTGGCCCATACTGAGCCCCATTCTTTGTTATTTACATCAGGGAGTCTTATTGTCCTTGTGTGAGTTATTATAATAGACCTATAAGTTACCATAACATTTATATCATAGGTGTGGGTGTTGCTTGAAAAGAGTCCAGTTGGACAAAGGAAACGTGTTCCAACAGCTTAAGAACCTTCTGTGCTTCACTTCAGATCGTCTCTGTGACTTTTATATTTTACTGAATACTCGTTTGTATGTCCATCCAGGCTTACTTGAAGATCAATGTTGTGTGGCTTTGTAAAGCCAAAACATAACTTTTAAAGTTCACCTTTTCCTTATAGATCCAAATGCCGGCTTATGACATTTGAGAAAAGGTTGGGTAGTTTATAAACAGTGTGAGGCTTTTTGTAAAGCTGTACACAGCACAGTTTTTGGCTGTCATCTCTAAAGTGGGGAAAGTGAGTTTAATGCTAACACGTGGGATTATTCAACAATATGACACTTACAGTATACCCAGGTTGTAAAAACTCCTTAATGCGAGCCATGCAGCAGTGAATTTAATTTAGGTGCATTCATTTAAACTGTATCCATATAGAGACATTAACATGTTAACTTTCACATCCTAATGTTGGCAAAGTGCCACCATCCCAAGCACAGACATGATCTTATGGAGTTGTTCTACTGAGTGAAAAATGGATAAGGGCTGATCTCACTGCAGAGGCAAGAGGAAATATCAATCTACATTAAGTCCCGAATACATCCACTATGGAAAAGTGAAGAGTAATGGGGACAAAGCTGCCCTTTAGCAGGGACAGCACCACATCGTTCACCCTAATCGAATGGTATATACCTGTAAGCAGGTTCAGAGTGTGTGGAGCCTCAAACATGTCTGGTCAAACATACTGAGGCCCATTAATGGCTACAGTTTATCAGCGTCATTAATATGTGAATGGTGAATGGACTTGTTCTTATATAGCACTTATCTAGTCTTCTAACCACTCAAAGTGCTTGTGCAATACACGTCACACATTTACCCATTCACAAAGATTTTCACACACTGATTGGAGAGGAGGCTATCAAAAGTGGCCATCAGCATTAACAACTCACATTGATACGAATTCAAACTTCGATATAAATGCCAGTGGGAGAAGTTTACAATTCAGCGTCTTGCCGAAGGAGACTTTAGCATGTGGACTAGGACAGTGATAAGTCGTGATTAGTTTTGCTACTCACATGCAGGATCTTCTCATAGTCAGTTTCCATGTTGTCCATCTTATGACAGAGGTCAGATATGACGGTGTCCTTCTCCTGTTCAACCTGCTCACGCTCTCTTTTCTCTCTCTTCAATTCATCCTGACACAGGACTATGCACACAAACAAACACAGGCATGCAGTAAATTGTATCTGGCTCTCCTATATCTATTTATATGTTAATGTTTCATGTATTCATACCAAGTTCCTCTTTCAGCTGGCCGACCTCCTTCTCCAGCCTCTTCACCTTGCTGCTCAGGTCCGTCTGCATCGATTTGTACTGTCGACGGAGGTCTAAAAGATATTTGTAGCAACAATTTCAGACTTAGCCTTCGTTGCTGATTCCCTTTGCACAGCTAATTTAGCAATCAGCTTAGGCACCCAGCTAATTAGACTTTTTGTTCCCCAAAAATTACCCTAACCTTGGCAAACACGCCCCTTGTTCTTGCATCCCAAAGGGATCCACGCTTTATCTCAGGTTATTAAAGGAGAGACTAATTGTTGTTTCATGCCTCAACTGATGCGTACCAGAGTTCACATCCCTGTGGTCTTGTCCCTCGTGCTGCAGCTTCTGCTCCATGTCTCTCATGCGTCTCCTCAGGTCAGCTCTATCAGACTGGATCTTTATTGCAGACTCACGCTGTATGGCTGTGGTGATCACACAAACACATGCATGCATAATGATCACATCAGTGAGCTCTTTAGAGGCAGAAATTGCATCCTAATGCCTCTTACCCTAAAACTAATTATGTTTTCATATGGCTGTAACTTCCTGTCGGTGGTACAGATGGTGCAACTGTAGCTTCACATGGTGGGATGATTCAGATGCCTTGATTCAATAAAAGTGAAAATCAAACTATGTATAAATACTTCATTCTACATACATAGTCCTTTATCAAAATCTTAAAGCATGTTAGGATTGTCAGCAAAATACACTAGAGAGCACATGTAACAAGTTTTAACTTGGGACAACTAGTTTGACCTAAGACAGTACATTCATGTTAAGATCTACATTTTCATTGAAAGCTGTAGCCTGCAGAAATTACTGCATTTCCTTCAGAAGTAGTAGAAGTATAAAGTAGAACATAAAGAACAGGTACCTCCAAATCATACATTTCCCACCACTGCTTCAAGTCTTACTATTAAACATGGTATGTAACATAGTATGCTAAATATGTTCCCTGAATCCCTGTGTAAAAGGTTGACGCAATCAAATAAGTTTTGATAAGAGAAGAATCTTTTTCAGATACGATCTCGTTTCATATGATAGGGGGCATTATGAAAAGGAATAAAGTCATGTTATTAGGATTAGTCACTTCATTGATTAGATTAGTAACAGGGAATTTGAAATCAGAAATGATTAAACTGAATAATCGTATAAGTCAAATATAGGCTACCCTAAATCAAGAAAAAAGGCAAAACGTTTGCTGGTTACAGTCCTCTACCAAAAGTGAGGATATTAAGCTTTTTGTTTATTAATGTAAAATGGACGCTTAAAAATTGAGAATGACCATTTTTAATGTATAATCATTTTTTCTGCCACTCAAAAGACTGCAAGCTAAATTATTATATTACCTAATAATCAGAAGGTAGGCCTACATTAGGCATTATTAGACATAATATGCCTATGTAGGCTACTCTTCTTTAGGAGTGGAAATGTCCCCCTTGAATTCAGTAGGCTTCATGTGATTTGTAAAGGAGGTAGTTTGACCTCAACGAGGCAACGTTACACAAAGTAGGCTAAATAAAAAAAATTAATTCCTGCTCACCAATATGATCCTGTAGGACGGCTATATCCAGAATACTGTGCTTATACTTTGCTTCTACATCATTTTCACCTGTAACAAGAGAATAACAGTTGTAAACAAAAATGAATGTCAGCAAAAGAAAAAAAAAAACTATAGTCCTACTGCATATAGCCTACATAATCTTAAATTACATTTTTCGGGAGCCTTCTTTGTGGTCTTTTTCGTTTTTTTCTTAGGAGGCATGATTCCTTTAGCTCCACTCCCTGAATGGACACACTAAACACAGGGATGAGCATTTGTTGCTTGCTTTGCTGAGGTTGCCGAGTGAGTTGCCATGGAACTAGCTGTCAACCTTGATTGATAGTTGACTGACTTTATTAACAACCAATCACAAAGTTACTAGGGCACCTTCGCCTTTTTTTTTTTTTTTTTTTTTTTTTTTCATCTCGTGCGCACTTGGCCATGTAATTGGATCCTTACTTTTAAGTGAGATACGTTTTTAGAGCGTCCTTTGTTGCCAGGAGAGACCGAGCCCAGCGCTGTGGGAATGCAAGGCAACCATTCAGCATCACCTCAACCTTTTTTTATGAATGCTGCACAAGCTGAGGCGCGCGTCCGAGAACATTCACGACTCGTGAGCGCGCATGGAGAAGGCGTGGAGTTTGGGTTATGAAGAAGGGGAGGGAGGGGGGCAAACAAACGGAAGGGGACGTACAGGAAAGGCAAGGGCCGCACATAGGCTACACGTCACGGTGGAACAGAAAAAAACACAGGGCAATGTTTCATTTCCACATTTATTTATTTTCTCGTGTTACAGATATGTGACGCTTTTCGCATTTTTTTTTATTTATTTCCGGTGCAACTTCCTCTTCTTCTCGGTCATCAGTGAATGCTCTGCGTCGTCAGCCCGCAGGAGGAGGAGGAAGAGGAGGAGGAGGAGGAGGGCTGACACTGTCACACAGACAACTCAACTTCCCGTCAAAGCACAGCGCAGGCAAAACGAGCTGCTGCTGCTGCTGACAACAAAAAAAGGGGAACGACATCGGGGATTATCAAGAGGAGAGGAACACATTCAAGACACGGTGTCGCCCAGCTGAGGGCTGAGCAGAGTCTGAGGTCTGTGCTCCTGCTAGTTATCCTTGCGTTGGGGTCCCTGCAGAGAGACAGCAGCACGGGGCTAGCTGCAGCACACCGCGGCTGCTGCACAAGGGTGTGAGTGACTTCTTTTAGCCATAATCTCCCTTTTTTTTTTAATTTTTTTTTTTATTTACCCGAAAACAGCTGGTGTTAAGGTTTACTGATGGAAGCCTTCATGCACTAGCCATCCCTCCCAAATCCTTTACCCCCTGTCGGACCCTGGCTCAGACCCGTCACTCGGGCGCTGTCCTCGCCGGGGGGGGGTGCCGGATCACCATTGCTGGGTCTGGCTAACGCGAGACGGCGGCGGCGGCTCGGTCCCCCTGACCCCCTGACCCCCCCCCTGCCCCCCACACTCCTGTCTGCCGCTCTGGCCGACCTTTACCGAGCTCGAACATGGCAGGGAACCTTAAGAAAGGCGGAGGACTCATAGGTATGATGAAGGATGCCTTCCAGCCACACCATCACCACCTCCACTCCCATCACCAGCCCGGGGCCGTGGATAAGAAGACAGTGGAGAAATGTTGGAAACTGATGGACAAGGTAGGTTTAGCTCGGGATAAACGTGAACTGGGCTCGTCGGATGCCAAAAGAGAGAGAGGAGAGGAGGGGGGGGGGCTGCTAGCTCACAAAAGCTAACTAGCGTTGAGCTAACTATTCAGGTTCTGGCGTCGACAGCTTGGAAACAGCTAGCTGCTAATTAGCTAGCGTTAAACTGTATTGTTCTGTACCATATGTGCCAATGACGGACTGTTATGATTAATATCACAAAGTCCACACATGAGAGCGACATTACATGTGTGTGTGTAAGAGCTTTAACACACTCTATGCTAACTGGTTTGTTGTCACACCATTGTAGACTTACAAATGCATCAAACATTAACAAAGAAGAACATGCTGGTAACACTGGAAAAGTTCAGTTTAGGTTAATTCAAGGGAGTTTTTTTTTATTTTTTTATTTAATTGTACGTTGTTGTTTATTTTACGGCAGTCTGTAAGCTGTTAGAAACTAACAAAGCACTGAGGGGGAAGTAAAAAAAAAAACAACAACATGTCTATAACTATAATACAAGGCCAATCATGCTCTTTCACAGGGGAGACTCATTTCACAGCTTTAACTTCTCGGAAAAGCCTGCAGCAGTTTGACCCCTCAGTTTCCTGTGAGATTCACACAGCAATATCTGAGTGAATAGGAAGACAAGACACTCTTTTGTGTCCTCTCTTCCTCTTTGAGGTCTTTAAGTTCAGATATCTAATGTTAGGAGACGAAGCCAAAGCTATTATTAACAAACCACTTTCCAGTTCGTTTTACTCGGCTAGCATCTGTTGAATGTGCTCTGTTGGACTTTAAGCCACATTTCAACACCCAAAAAAAAAAAGAGGTACTTTAGCTAACAGTTGTAACACTGTGACCTGGGTTTTTTTTAATTAGGTGTTTTGTTTTTAGTGAATGTGCAAAACTCCTCCACACACTTTTTAATGTTATATTTTGGGTGATTTTTTTTGCCTCTATTGGATAGAACAGCTGTAGAGAGTTAGGAAACATTGGGAAGGGGATGACATGCAGCAAAGGACCGAGGCTGGACTGGAACCCACTGCAACGAGGACTACAGCCTCTGTTCATGGGGCACGTACCCTCATAACCGCAAGGCTATCTGACGCCCCGAATGTGCAACACTTCTTAAAAAGCTTTTGTGTGCATCTCTGTCATATGACCCGGACAACTGACCTTAAACCGCCTGCACAGTCAGGTTAGCTTTTTACAGTCTACAGTCTGAGAATAATTTACAATGTTCATCTGACCGAGTGAAACAGTTATGCCCAGAAAAAAAAAGAATCTCTTACCTATAAAAAAAAAAAATGCTAAAACACCGATGTGTTTTTACTTCCCTTGATTGTTAAAATAAAGCTGCAGAAAAAGTATTCCGAACACCACAGCCCATCATACACTCTTGACCAACAGGATGCAGAATATAATCTTTGTGTCCCTCTTTTAAAACACCTCCTGCAGAGGACCTAGTTAAATTTTAGCAGAATTATGTCACATTAATTCTGCATCACCTATTCTTACAGTTTTAGGCATAACAAACATCCACTTATTTAATTTGTTTAATCTCTGACGCTCTGTCCAAAGGTTTGTTTTAAGGTTGCCCTCCTGCATCAAGTTTGGACTTTAGAAATATAGTTTAAAGGTTTAGCCGTTTTGTGTCTGCTGTTGCATCGCTAAATGCACGACGCAAATTAGGTATTAATTAACCATAACCTGATGGTTTTTTTTTTTTTTAAATAAATTAATGTCAAAAAGTTACCTGGGCCAATTTTTTTCCAGGTAATTTAATTTTCAGGTACTTGAAGTTGATGTTCAGACAGTACATGTTTATTTATTCTATGCCAGTTGTGAATAGGCCTGGAGAGAACGAGAGAAGAGAGAAAAAGATGAGTGGAATGCAGTTAAGTGTAGAGCCCCGTCAATATTTCACTCCAGCCTTGATTGACATTGACATATGAGAGCACTCAGTTGTTTTGGCCTTGTACGTGTGCAAGCATGCATGCACATTTGGCAAAGTTATGGGTACAAGTGTTTGCATGGTATATGATAATGCTAGTGATGTAACCTTGGCAACCCTGTTATTAAGTGTCAGACATAACCAGTGAAGACTTTCTGCATTCAGAGGCCTGGAGAAGGGTTGAAGGAGTGAGGGCACAGAGTTGGTAATGATACTGAAGTAAAGGCATGTTATCTGTCAGTTCAGTCGCACATCTCTGGCAAATGAAAAATTGTCTCTCACACGTATACTTACCACAGTCATATTATTCAAAATATACACAGGATAAAAAAATATATATATATGCTGATGATGTTAAACATACAGTTCTGTAGAAGCTTTAAGCTCACTTTTTGACATCATTGGCAATTTAAAAGGATTTTTTAAATGTTTTTTTCTATAAATGAAAAGTATAAGCTAATGAAATCACTTAAATCTTACTGCACTTCATTTTTTCCCCTTCCACCCATTTGCACTTGCTGATATTGAGAAGCTGACTATTCTCATATATAATATATAAACTCATTCTGCATGTCATGAAACTGTACCCCGTAAAATACACTGTCCGTCAAGTGTGACCTCATTTTGCTGAGAGGCATTTGATACAGTGATGATGAGGTGACTTATCTTAGAACTGTATACCCATATTACAAGCTGAAACTAAATATTTCTCACATACAACACTCGGTTTGGGAAGCTGAGGCAGGTCCTTCTACATTCTGATTTGACATATGTGGAAGTGAACATCATGTTTATCTGTGGCTGGGGAATATAAAATTCAGAAAAGCGGATTTAAAAAGAAGTTATTTTCTGGCAAATGTACCAGAGTGGAATTAGTGTTAGTTAGCTTGAGTCAACTGAGCATGTTTCATAATAACGTAAAGCACGTATGCGTTGTATTACGACGTTATGTACAAGAGGTAATCGTGCTTAGTTACGGTTAGTCCTAAGTGGGGGCCAATCGTGCTTGAGTACGGCACGGTACGGATGGCCAGTGTGACCGCGCCCTTAAACACATTCATTCCACAACCACATTTAGTTATGTCATCCCTGCCTTCTTTCTTTTTTCAGACCCTCCCTCACAATTGTTGGATGCTACATTTTATGTGCTGTTGTTGTTACTTCTGAAAGCCCAAGTTCAGATCAGGAGAAGGGACCCTGGATTTTTCAAATATTGTGTAGGTTAGGGAGGAAGTTCATCCTAAATTCAGTGATGACCACGTCCATAAAGAGCGTACTGTCATTGAATGTTCCAGGCTTCCCGCCAGTGTCGTTTGTAATGGTCAATGAGGTGACTCAGACTCTGTGCAGCAATACACAGTGAGATGGCCGAGGAGAGGTTGAACATTACTGAGGATGTTGCATGTTTTCTTACAGTCTAGTGAATGTGTTTAACTCAATTTTAATGTTTTATGAAGCCATCTGATAGGGCATTTTCTCTCTGCTTACCCATTACAGAATTCACCCTCTGATGTGTCAATGATTCATGTGAATGTGCGCTCTTGCAGATTTATTTGTAGGTTTTTTTTAATCTTTTGTGCTTGGGAAATTTATTTCTTCACATGCACAATCATGCTCAAATGTTGAGCAAAGAGAATTTGTGTTTTTCATGCAGAAGTGGTGTAGGATGTGCAGATTGAAATGAGGAAGTGTAAACATCAATAGCTTCTCTAAACATGTTCAGCAAGTGAAGAGTCCGACTGTGGTAACCTGTGTTTGTTGAAATGGCAGTTGAAAAATTAGACATGTCTCCAAACAGACATCTGCATGGTCAGTGAAGAGGAAAAGGAGATGATACGGTTCATAAAGAGGACAGACAGTGTTTGGATATATGCAAATCTACCTTTGTCCTGGTACATGTTAATCTTTTTAGGTCTAAGAGGAAGCTGTGCGACATTGGGGAAATATCTCCTGATGCCATAAGGGAATTAATCGATTTAACTATGTATTCCATTATTTAATGTTTTGACTTGCCACACTCTGAAAGCTCTAAGCTTGCCTCTGACGGGGCTTTTAAGGGCCTTTCTCTCAGTCATCACCCTTGTTGGCACTTTCCATTCTGCATGTCTTCTGTCTGGGCTCTCTGACAGTGTACTGCTCTACAGATAAGTGGTCTAATACAGAAAAGAGCTGTATTATGCAAGTCTCTGTCTATAGGGTATAAATAATGTCTTACTGATGCAGAATAAAGGTGAGCTTTTAAAATTTTAGATAACCTTGACTTTCTTTCTGTCTTTGTCACTCTCTCTCTAACCCATCTTTTAACATGTGTGCTTTGCCTTTGCACCCACCTTGTCTCTAACTGTATCTTTTCATCCCCCCACACACACACACACACACACACACACACACACACACACACACACACACACACACACACACACACACACACACACACACACACACAAACATCCTCCCTCTCTGCAGGTGGTGCGCCTTTGCCAAAACCCCAAATTGGCTCTGAAGAACAGCCCCCCTTACATCCTGGACCTTCTGCCAGACACCTACCAGCACCTGCGCACCATCTTGTCTCACTATGAGGGCAAAATGGAGACTTTGGGGGACAACGAGTACTTCCGAGTCTTCATGGAGAACCTTACCAAGAAGACCAAGCAGACCATCAGCTTGTTTAAGGAGGGAAAGGAGCGCATGTACGAGGAGAATTCACAACCCAGGTGAGAAAAGGGGAAAGAATCATTGTACGACAAACACATTTAGACATGATTTTAGTCGTGAATGGTGGCAATTCATTTTTTTTTTGTACTTTGAGTCATTGTGTTGATTTCCATTAGTAGACTTATCTGCACTGAGACATGAGCTGCCGCATTACACACAAATCACACCTCAAACTCTTTCATACATTCTGAGTTATTACGTCTAAGCAGATGTTGTGAACAACGGCTCCTTTCCCCAGCCTCCCAGGTGGTTGTAGCTCGTCATCAAAACAAGAATAGAGAGGTGTTGTGGTTTGAGCAAGTGCGCTCCTCTGTGGTCAGGATGGTGCTTAATCTACAGCTGCCTGGCACTTGTGTTTCTGTGTATCCTTATCTTTTCCATCTACTTCAGCATTTCACTTTTCATATAGCCACCTTTATGTAATGCTTTCGTTTTTGAATTCTTTTTTCCTCTTGCATCCACTTATCGCTCCTTGTCCCCGAAGAAAACAGGCCCCCCCCATGTGTACAGTTCATGAATATGTCCTGTTGTTGTCTATGTGGCGGGTCTCCTGGAAATTGAATTAATAAGATATTCTGCTCGTTACGCTTGTTTTAGAAACACCAAATGAGAACAGAGTAATCTTTTGAAGACAAAGTATACAGCTATGGACCCCAAGATGAAATGGACTTTCTTCTGAGCAAAAAGTTATGGTTGTGTTAATGAGAAGGCTTTCAGAGCAGCTGCTGGGTGAAGCTGCTTTGCTTTTATCATGTTCATTGTTGCAATCAAGAGGAAAAAGGCTGGAGGATATGCGCCGGTACTTGTTACAGGCATCATGTACTTTCTATAATGAAATAGTAAGAAAGAAATGATTTGGGTTTTCTATGAAAGGGTTAGTGAGCCAGCATCAAATATTTGCCAGTGAATGCTTTCTCTGCTTACTCCTATGCGTTGTCTGCTTTTTATGTCTGTGTGCTGTATCTGCTGTCTTCAGATGGTCTGAAGGCAAAATGGAGCTTTAAGAAGAGAGAAAAGATGGACAGTAATGAGTGTTTGAGCGGAGTAGATACCAGCTAAATAAGGCTACATCACTAACAAACCAGATTACAAGCAGGTTACACCGCCCTGTGTCATACTGGATTGATTGCTGTGAAACTCTCCTTGCTACAGTGTTGTGAGCTCGCTGCATTGATATAGGCTGGGAAGGCAAAAAAATGCTGTCTTCTTTCAAGAAAATCAAGTCCAACGAATTTGGTTGTTATGACGTCCTTACAGTTGTAGATACATGTGGTTGTCACTTCATTACTTTAGAGAAGCTTAATTCATTTGCATAGAGCTGGTGTGTGGCGCTTTAGCTCATCTCTACATAATTCTGTTAAATCGCAAATAACTTGGCCTATCTTCTAGCCTGAGGGTCATTTGTGCTTTATAAAATTGTAATAAAAGTATGTGAGGCCTATGAGAGAGAATCAGGGAATAAGGCAGCAGTCAATCTTTAGTTAGTGCGACAGAACCTCCTACAAAATAGTCCTTCATGTATCACTGCTTTTCCTGTTTTGTCATATGTCCTTTGCCAGGTTAGTGTCATGACTTGGCCATGTATCTCGTGTCTTAATGCCTACAGCCCGAAGTAAAGGGCAAAGGAAGATTTAAGGTATAATTCAGAGTGACGTTTGTAATGCTTTTTAGCGAGCTTTCTGGTTTCATTTAAAGCAGAGGGGACGTGCACCATATCTGAGTTTTTATTAGTTCTGCCATACTTTTTTTTTAAAAGTGCTGTAAATTCAGTTTCTATTCCAGCATTAGTCTGAGAAGACGACAGAGAAGAAGTTTTTTCACACATTCACGCCTGACCTGCTGTCTATTAGTTGAAGTATTTCTTGTTTTGAATGGATACAGGAAAAAAAACAATATTAGGTAATAGTTTAATCTAGTCAGTACTAAGTGATACATCCTCTTCTTGCTGCTCGGTTCCTCAGTTGGGTTGTTCCCTCTCAGACCCCATGCCAGTACTCTTGCAGACAGAAAAAAACTTAATCAACCAGCAAGTGAAAGCTTTCATCATAACCACCACTGTATTTGTGTTGTTCTGAGCCATTTTGACCGTTCCTCTGGGAAATCACATCACATCGTCACTTCATTGCACCAAGAGGCTGCTGCACAGAAAGAAATTCCTAGTTAAAGCAGAGGAATCACACACACAGTAGCCAGGCATTACACACAAAGACGGCTATTGTTTGTGCGCAAGAAGGCAGTGACACTAACCAATGGGTATCAGCCCACTTAAGAATGCTTTAGAATCAACCAATGATGTTGAGCCGCCACAGAGACTAGTATGTGGTTAGACTGCAGCTGAGCTCAGCACATGGCTGTGACTGAGAAGTTGAACAGTGAGGATAAACGAGAACTTCACCGCCTCAATGCAGACAGTTTGATCACCCACGTTTCACTGAGTTCTCCAATTCAGCCTTAATTTGAATATGACATTTGCTTTTACTATTTCCACCATCAGTTAGTAACATTATTTAGATGTTACTCAAAAGAAGATAAACACTACTCACACATTGATTATGAGCTTTATTTTCATAATCGGAGCTAAGGATCCAAGCGTGTCATTAGAGCTCTGAATGCAGCGTGGGTGGACATGCTATGTTGTGATGGCGTGCAGACTTCTCTGAAATGTCTTCCCCAGAGATTGAGACACGCTATTTATCCAGCCCCCCCATCCCATATGTTCCCCACTGACTGTTTAGCTGTAGAGAAGAGTAGAGTTGAAGTTGTGTAGTAAAAGCTTAGTTTTTGTTGTGTTTGTTTCGCAACACTCTGCTAAGTGTGGTTTGAACTTATCTGTTCTGTTCTTAGTGCTTTTCCAAGTTTTTATGTTATTGTGGTTGAGAGAAAGATAAAGGGTTCTATGATGTTCAGAGGAGAAAACACAGAGGGTGGAAGTTGGTCTGCTGTCTGTGAGTGAGTGAGACTGGATTATTAACACTGACAACCCATCAGCAGTCAGAATTCACAGAACAGAGTCAGTACTTCCTCTTTGTTAACTTCGCTTACTTCCTCTTCTAAGTTTTCACAGCACAACTGATACTTCTTTCTGACCTCAGAGTTGACAAAGACCCGACCAGAAATGGTAAAATGTACCTTCAGCCCAAGTGCAAAAAAAGCGTTTTCCATTTTAGCTCTGCCTGTCAGAGCGAACAAAGCATTAGAGTGTTGTAATCTCAACCATGTTACTGTGTGAAATGACACAGTCTGGTAACATCAGAGCTAAAGCAGAAACGATGCCTTGATTATCAGTTAATCAAAAAATAACTAGTTTGTAACTATTTTAATACCAGATTCATTCATGCATCAAAATGAATAGCATATGCACAACAATTAACAGTATAATGAAATAAATAATGAAGTCCTCTTGGACTTGGGAACTCATGATGGAGGTCTTTCTACATTTTGTGGATTTAAGAAAATCCAGGATATTACGTATGTAGTGCTGCGGCCAACATTAATTATGAAAGTATGTTTTAAAAATCTTCCATTGAATTTATTCACTGTCACAACTCCACAGCCAAAGTGAGTCTAATAAACTAGTATTAATTGGTCCTGTAATATGACATAAAATAACACAAATTGACTATTATAATTTTTGAGAATTGAAGGGGTAAATAAATAAATTCCCTGTTCTGTCCAACACACGGTTTAAAATCCAGAGATAATAACTTAACAGTTGTACGTGACAATGGAAAAACTAAGAACTGTCATAACTAAAGAAAGAAACCTCTTGTGTGTACGATAATAGATGCTGATTACCTTTTAATCGACTTATAAGAATATGTTTCAAAAAATCCTCAAAAATGGTTTCGTATAAGTCTTAATAAGCTTAACTTGTTGTGACTCAGCTTGATCACATGCGAGCTCTGTGTTTGGACTCAACGTGGGATATGATTGTTTTTGGAAAATTAGTGACAACATCAATATTGTCCTTCCCACATTGTTAAAACAACAATGTAGATATTAACACACACTCCTAGTTATCAGAAAAGCCTTTAACATGCTCTTCCATGGGTCTGACAGGATACTGCTTGACCTTTCTGTGACGCTCTGTTTGATCATCTTCCGGGGCTGCTCTTTCTTTGTGTACTGACCACCATTGATAGGTCCTGCTGGTCACAGAAAAGTGGTGGGCGTAAAGGCCACAGGATGATGCAACTGAACTGAAGGAGAGGCTACACTGAAAAAAGGGATGGACCTGGAGCCTAATACAGCATTGTTCATATTGTTGTAGGGGTGTATTATCTTATATGGTCTAAATTATCTCCAATGTTTTGTTGACACACATCTGTTGCTAGAGGAAGAATTGTTGTAAAGACATGTAGGCCTGTTGCAATACCTCAAATAACTCAATATAAAAAAAAGAACAATAAGCCATTTGTTCCTTTTTTTTGCAGAGACACCTCGTTCAGTCCATATATCAGTAAATACACGGCTCTGTGTTTGACTATATAATGAATATGTCTACATCAACCAGATGTTTAATTTTGGACTCAGTATTTATTATTAGTTTGATATTTAGGTAATTGTATTGGTAGAAAATATTGACACATTTTGAACGGTGGTGTAATGTAACGAGGTAGTACGTTACGGTGCTCAAGTATTTTCTGAGAGTATCTGTACTTGTACTTGAGTGAGTTTTTATGTTTTTGGCAACTTCTACTCCACTACATTTCCACTCTCTCTCTCTCTCTCTCTCTCTCTCTCTCTCTCTCTCTCTCTCTCTCTCTATATATATATATATATGTGTGTATATGTGTGTGCAGAAAATAACATCATAACAGAGCTTTCTTATCCCAAAAATTCCCTCAGGACACTGGGTTTGTCTTATGTTGTTACTCTTCTAAGAGGTAATGATATTACTCTAGTTAGTACTGGCTTGTCCTCTAGGTGTGTGTGCTTATTTATAATTCATATTCACATTGTCCTGTAGCTCTATGGCTTTGTTGACTGAAATGAGACG